GGGGCCGGCGGCCACTTGTGCTTTGGAGTAGCGACGGCACACATTTCTCATGCAGATGCAGAGAAGAACGAACAAGATGGCAAGTGTGCTAAAAACCAAAAAACAAATTGGGGCAGATCCAAAGTGGACAGGTATCGCTGAGATCAAGGCACTTCCGGAACGGGATTTATCTGTTACAATATTGATGAATTAGACATAATCCTGGAGAAGATCCGGTGGCTCACGCGACACAAACTCACACCAGGGTCGCGGTAGCAGAGAATTGACATGGAGTGTAGTTCTTATGAATGCAAAAATGAAGTAATGAAGGGGGCTTAAGGGAGTATCGATGGTCACAGGAGGGCTGGAGAGCAATGTCAGAGGTCCTATACAACGGAAAAAGTCTTGTAAATTGGACTACAGCCCCGGAGGAGGCGTTTGATATATAAAGCGAGTGTCAAGGAGGGTCGGTTATGCGCTGGGTATGCGGAATGCAGCGGGAAACTTGGTTGGGCATCAGGGGTAATTCCAAGAGGACCCGTTATTGGGCCGAAACGAATTTTGATATATGCAGCCCTGCCGGGTACGTAACTCGACGCAGCAGGGCGCTCTTCGACATGTGTCGATGGTCGATGTCCATGCAACGCATGTCAGAAGCATATGTGGACATGAAACAGGAAGATTTCAGAACTGCATAGGGTGAAGTCTGGCTCCTGCGTCGGATTCTGTTCTTGACGCCCTGGGCGTAAAAGGATCAGAGCTGAAGTCGAACAGCGAACTTCAGGTGGTATGGAATCTAGCGGCGACTCGATGCCTTACCGGGCAGTCTCGCTATCTCGCTAGCTGCTGGTTACGAGAATGCCCTGATTTCATTTGCTGCGCCGCCAACTTATGGTGGTGGTTTGTTTTTGTGATCCCGAATTTGGCAGACTTCCTGCACTTTTCGGTTTTTTTTTTTTGCGAGGCGCTTCAAACATTTTGAGGCTCACCAATCATCCTTGTAAGGCAGAGTTTTCCAGCCAATTCCTCTTCATCATGGCTTCATACTCTGTTACATGCTGCAGGCCGCAGCTTTAAGGCGAGTCCCTTCATTCGCGCCATCAGTCCAAAAAACGTCATCCCGCAACTGGATTGTGTGGGAGAAAAGTTGGAGATGCATTTTGGTGGAGTGCACTGGGGGCGCCCGACAGCAGGATTCCTGCCCGAAGGCCTCTATTTTGGTGAAGAAAAAGGAAGCATAAATCGTTGGCGCTAAGTATGTCTGGTCCTTGCCCCATGATAAGCTGGTTTTGAATGAGGCCTCCACAAGGCTAGTTCTTCTTTGTATCGTGCAGCTGGTGGTGCTCTTGCTGTGTGGGAGTCGGCCACCGAACGTGACCCCGAGTAGCCAACAAAATGCAGCCGAGTCTACCAGACGAAGCCCGAATTACTGGATTGCCACTGAAGTTGACCATTTCACCCTGTATCCGGGAAAGCAAGGATAGATTCTGTGCGGACATTAGTGGTCCGAGTATATGAGCTGGGAACTAGACCTCAAATCGGAGATAGAGGAATGTTATAGTGATGTGTTTGTTTCGAAAATGGTGGTGAATAGAGTAAGACTGTGGCTGATTTGATATACAAGAGTATAATGTGAAAACCCTGGTGAGGACATTATTTAAATTTGATGCACCCTATCTGAAGATGACTTGTTGGCCATTGATATGGCAGAAGGGTTCAGATAATGACGTTATACAATACTCAGGGCTTCAACAGCAACTTGCCAGTTGTTTTCCTTCCTTCGATATCCTATGCCGATTGAAAATGATGTCAATTTTCTCGATTTGTGAAAGACTTTGAACTTGAGGGAGACCGACCTGATGTGCTTGCTGAATATCCTCAAGCGGGTATACCTTATAGATACTCGTTTTTAACTTCCCTTCCTCAAGCAACTGGAAGAGTTCGTTCATGTATAGGTCAAACTCTTCACGGGTATAGATATAATTGAAGAGAACAGGGCGGCATATCTTAATATTCTTTCCTGCGAGCATCCTACACGGAAGAGTTAGACCGTCCGTACCAGTGCATACGAAAAATATGGAGGAAACACTCACGAGATTGGGAATGGAGGCACAACACCACTAGAGTTTCCGAAGAAAACTACAGATCCTTTCCGCCAGACGGCCTTGAGACTGTCTTCCCAGGTATCCTTGCCAACTGAATCGTACACTGCGTTCACACCCTCGCCACCAGTGACCTCCATCACCTTATCCAGCCACTTAGCACCCTCCATGTTCTTATAATCAATAACCACATCCGCACCCAGGCCCCTGACGAGTTCAACCTTTTCAGGTCCCCCCGCAGTGCCGATGACTTTGGCACCAGCTAGTTTGAGCAACTGGGTCATGATGATACCTGCTCCGCCAGCCGCAGCATGAAGAAGAATCCAGTCACCTTTCTTGACTTCGTATGCTTCCCGGATGAAGGAAAGGCAAGTGGCACCAGTCAGTAATACAGCGAGCACATCCTCGTCGGAGACACCCTGGGGAATCTTTGCTACTCTGTATGCTGGTGGGGTGCTGTACTCTGCATATCCTGCAGTTCCGATCCATGCTACGCGATCACCAACAGCGAAGTTGTAAGGGTTTGGGCCGGGACCTAACGCAACAATGGTACCAGCGCCTTCTTTTCCCAGGATCTCAGGTTTGGTAGAGTCATATACACCCTTTCTGAAGTATGTGTCGATGAGATTAATGGCCGTAAGGTTGTTTTTGACAAGGACTTCCCCCTCCTTGGGAGAAGGGACAGGCAAATCTGTTTTATACTCAAGGACCTCGGGGCCTCCTATCTTGGAGACTAAAACCCCCTTCTGAGTGGTTGGAAGAGAAGTCATATTGCGGTAGATAAATAGTAATCTTCTGGGAGCCGAAGTGTTATAGCCGAAGCCGTGGAGCCCTGTCTGTACCTTGAGATTGAACGCGGGGTTGACTGATGGATGTGTATACACCCTAGGGATGAACAGCCTTTTGGCAACCGCGGATATAGCAATACTTTGTAAACTTGTCTTCATTGACCGCAGATAGAGCCTGTAGGCATTGGATATATCGCTTGACTTGATGTTTGGGAGAAGTTGGTCATTTCTCGTGTTCTATAATGTTTATGACGAAAGATGTTGATAACTAAGCTCGCGGAGTTAGTCGGTATTTATCTCCACACATCAGCTACATAGCCGAAGGTTGGTTAAAGACGGTTGAATGTTTATACGACGAGAACTGGGTTGATTTAACTACCTAAGTACCTAGATATGCTTTGCAGGTATCTATTCTGCTGGTTGAATCATGCTGCTGAAGGACCTATCTGGCACTTGCCTGCCGATGTATGCCCATGACCGAAGTAGAAAACGACCGACGAAGAGTTCGTATGGATCCTGCACGCTTCCTTAATCCTCAATGTCACTATTTTCATCCTCGTCTTCAGCAGTTTCAGTCCTCTTGGACCCCCAGACAATATGGTCTCCCCTTAAATCCCGAGGCTCTTTCCAGTTCAAGATCCCTTCATTCGGCAAAGTAGTATGGAACGAGCAGTAGGTGGCCATGAACTTGTCAAAGTAATGAACTCCGCAGCTGAGCTCCCACACGTTTGCATCGACCTTAATTCCAACGAAGAAGAATGGGAGAAGGCTCTTCTCCACAAAGAACTCAAACTTCATGTGTCTATAAGCGGGTGGTTCTTCACCTGGTGCAAGGTCCTCATCTGGTAGGCTGGAGTCGCGCCAGGCAATCGCTTGGATTGTCCCAATTGGTTTGAGATCAGGGGCATTCTGTTCGTAGAATTCGGTGACTTCAGTCGGTGGAGGGATGATTGCGGTAACTTCAAATCCATATTCATGAACGAGCTTCGCTCGTAGTTTGTTGGAGACGGCCAATTCTCGGAATTTAACCACTTGCTCAAGGCTTCCTGTAGCAGCAATTCCAAACTTAACAACCTTTCTCGCCGCGGTCAACGTCATAAATGGAATCGTGTCTGAATTTTCCACCCATTCTCGTTCTTCAGTGTACATATCAAAGAACGAACCGCCGAAGAGCGTACTGCAAGCAGTGTTGAAGTCACCTGGAGCATTAGCATCAGCTTGGTAAGCCTTCCACAGTTCATCAGCTGCCTGGTCGGTTACTTTGCGGGCAGCCATAATGTCGTCTCGGTACTCTGGGCAGACATCATGGTATATGATGTAATTGAGGAAGTTTTTGATAGTATTAGTTCCAAGTTGAACAAGCTGCTCGGTGTCGACCGCAAACAATTGGGGGAAAACAGATGATCTATATAGTTAGAAGGGTCAGCCTACAAATAATCTAACAACCGCTTGGGAACTGATAAACGCACAAAAACCCTTTGGCAACGGTTTCAAAGTCGACATTCCACTTCTCGCGGTCGTGGGGGATATTAGATGATGCAGTTGCGGTAGCGATGGCCTCTGCATCCATGGACTGGAGGTCTCGCTGGTCATTTCCTTCAAACATCTTAGGTCCAACATCGACACCACCAAAGGCCATATACTTCGTGAAAATATGCCTTCTCTCAGGATCAAGACGTCTTTTAGCTTGGTATCTCTGGATTGCTGCCTCGAGGCGCCTATATGAAAGTCAGGATAGCTGCTCGTACACCTGAAAATGTGGTCATTGAACTCACTGGATAGCTGGCTTAGACCTGTATGTTATAGTCAGTCAATGCAGAATCGCCCAGATATATCATGCTTACGAGTCATAGATAGATTTTTCCTCATCATGCTCAGCGGGAGTCATGGGCGGGTCGACGTAGTACTCTTCAAAACCTGTGATCTTTTTCTGCTTAAGAGTTAATATCTTCCATACTTAAATACTAAACAGCAAGGTGGCATCCTACCTTGCCCTTCTTCCCTTTGGATCTCTTCTTGGACTTCTTCTTCACGGGAGCCGATATCGTCTTGTCTCCAGACTCCACTATGATCTTTTCGCCCTCAATGACCTGGTTTTCCCTGGTTTCTTCCACATTCTCGATATTATTCTCACCAGTATCTTCATTGTCTTTGGCCTCTAGCTGGTCATGATCCTCATCAGCCAACTTCTTAGGACGATGGGGTAGGTTAATTGAAATATTGCTCAGGACGGAAGTGCTATCAGCAACCGTGTCTTGTTCAGGTTTTGCTTCCATCTTTACCGAGCTCGAGGCCAAATATTCGAGTAAATAGGCTTATCAAGATGGCTCGAAGTTGAAACGTCTTTGGAGGCTCTTGTCGGAGGTTAGGAAGAGGTTAAGGTGAGCCTGAAGCTGTTCGCTCTATTGGTAAATAAAGAAGACGAAATAAACCCTTCACAACTCAATATATGATTCACTCCCTTGGGCGAGTAACTTCACTTTTCCTTCACCTGGACTATCTTCTAAAAAATTTCCCAAGGGTGAAGCTGTAGAAGGATTGATTTGGTATGTAAAGAAAAGAGGGAGGAAAGAAGAAGAAGCAGAAAAAGTCCAAGAAACAGGCTCAGTGAATTTTTTGCTTCTATGCCTTCTTTGTTCTCTTTTCCGTGATCTTTGTCTGCCCATCGCATAGTTGCATCTTGTTAATGCAAGCAAGCAAACAAGCAACATGGCCAATGGTAATATTTTTATTCATAGCTGATATGAGGGTTAGAAAGATAAATCCTTTTGCTGGCTGGGATGAACTCTTTTTACCAGGCACTGTCATAACAACGGAAGAAGTAATTAGTTCAAAAAAGATAGTTATGGCAGAGAATGAGATTGGAGGGTATTATATTCTATGACACAATAATGTCAAGGTCATTAAAGCAAGCAAGAGGGCCATGATACCCGCGGTTCTCTCAGCTTCTGTTTTGCTGGGAAATCGTTCTAGCATTTCTATCTAGGTTGGTCAGCCTCTCCCTTCCAACACCATCTCCCCTTCTTCGAAATTAGACCATCCCGGCCATTGGCCATAATTAATAGCGGCCAGAGTACGAGAATTTTCTAATTCTAGTCACCAGTAGACATAGCGACGTATGAGCCACGATCGCGGAGTTCTCTGCCCAGGGCTCTGCCATAGATATCAAACGAAATGCGTTTTGTGAGAGCTCGGCTAAGAATTCCTGAGGTTGACACACACGAATAGCATGTCGCTCGCGGGTATCAGGGTAAGTAGAAGACACGCATAATAGAAAGACGCCCCTAGAGCTGTATATACAGTAGTGCCTGTATATATAAGGGGAACAAAAATCCCCCAGCCTATGACGTCACGGATATATATATTACCTAACAAGCTTTGGTTACCGTTCAGCCAATCAGCATTCACTACATCGCATTCGCTGCTGGCTTGCCGCTAAGCCCTATCTTGGCCGTGATGACTTGCATTTGAGGCATCAAATTGACAATGAAGCAGTCAGGCTCTCTACCTATTCACTTAGCTGTTCTATATGCGCAATTGCCGAGCGAGAGAGGCTCGCTGCTGTGGCTGATTAATCCGTCCGATATCTTCGCCTTCTCGCTTGGGTGTCATCAAGTGACCGAAGTTGGAGATAGGTACCTTGCAATACATCAATTTTTGACCAGCTTCCAGCTCCTATCCTAGGGTCTCAACCATGCCTCCATCGAAGAGTCAAAAACTGGATGAGGATAGCTTTGTGGCGTTTGACCATGCCGCTGCTGGACAGTAAGTTACTCCTGTTGAATGACGAACAAGGGGCGAGCGAGAGTGCGAGCTCATGACCTGTATTAGTGAAGGCGTCCGCTGTGATGAATCAGGCTCTCTCATAGCGAAGCCCTGTACCGAGAAAGAAATTCTGTTCTATGAATCAGGTGCCAATCACCCGGCGTTTCAGAGATACATGCCTACGTTTATCGGTTCACTGCGCGCTGGTGCTCCCAAGGAGGCCCTTGATATATCGAATGCGGATGCAGATGCACCACTAGTTATTACTTCAGCAGAGGCACCCGTGGAGAGGACTTCCTTGCCTATGGAATTGGCGACAGAGACAGATAGCATCTCCATCACCAGGCCAGCGAAGCAACCAGATCAGCCATGGGTTCCGTCTGGCGGTAAGAAGCTTGATACCGGGCTGTCAATCGTTCTGGAGAACATTACGGATGGCTTTGTACGGCCAAACGTGTTGGATGTCAAACTTGGTGCAAGGCTCTGGGACGATGACGCTGTTCCTGATAAAAGAAAGAAACTCGACCAGGTGTCGGCTGAGACGACAAGCGGGAGCTTAGGCTTCCGTATTGCCGGAATGAAGACATGGGTTGGGGGAGACACACGGTCTGGAGCTGACATTGATGTCACCGCACAACATCTTGCTTCAACAGCCAGTGAAACCATCAAGTCCAAGGCTAAAGTAGTCGAGTCTGAGGGCTATCTTCGTTTCGATAAGTGGTATGGACGAGGCTTTGATGAGCATAACGTCCATCAGGGCTTCAAGACCTTCCTCGCCTCCGCTAAGGCCGGAACTGTCGACCGATCTGCTTTTATAGCGGAGAGGATTGCAACTGAGTTACGAGCGATGCAATCGGTTTTGGAGTCAGAGGAGAGCCGCATGTACTCAGCCAGTGTTCTGATAGTCTATGAGGGGGACCCCGAAACGTTCGAGAAGGCCCTCGAGCTTGAGCGTGAGCAAGCCAACAAGCCTGAAGACCTATCCACTCGGACTACGGGTCATGGAGGGGACACTGATGAGGAGGCAGAAGAGGAGGATGAGGATGAAGAAGAGCTCCCAAAAGTCCATGATATCCGGCTTATCGACTTTGCACATGCCAGTTGGACGCCTGGACAAGGCCCAGATGAGAACCTTCTGAGAGGGTTGAGAAATGTTGCGAAGATCATGGAAGACCTATCCAAGGTTTCCAACTAGAGACTGTGATAGCATGAAAGAAAATAGATTAGACATCAATTTATGATCGCTCGATAGATGAGATGATATGGCCGTTCCTCCCTCACCTTTCGTTTGTTTATATCTTTCACGTGACAGAAGCTGCGCCCGCTTAGTCATTAAGTGGCTACACCTTGTTAGTCATCAATAGCTAATCATCATCGATTTCATTCTTTTCAACTTTCTGCCAGAAGATCAACTGCGAAGTTGATATTGTGGATTGAAGATTCGGCCATTCAAGGGACAGCAAGCATGTTTCCCACTCGTGCGCTGCTAAAGCGATCAGCTTGGAAGGGTAAGGACACTGTGCTATATTTAACCGGTTCAGAAATGATGGAACTAATCAACTTTTGCCCAGGTCCAAATATCGTGCCGTACGTTGAAACCCTTATAATCAACATTTAGATACTAGATAACATCGTCTTTCATGACGATTCTAACAATATGCTTCAGTCTTCCGTTGCCGAAGACGATCCCTCCTCCTCCAGGAACACCGGCCATTCGCACACAGGCCAGAGCAGCTACCATCCTGCCTAATTTTGTTGGGTTGAAATTCGCAGTTCACAACGGCAAACAATATCAGGAAATTCTAATCACCGAGGAGATGGTTGGGAGGAAACTTGGAGAATTTGCGCCGTATGTTATACACATGTGTGGGGTATCTATTTCGGATATCAGCGCAGCGTTACTCCGTGCTAGAATATAGTGACTGACGCCTATAAATCTTTAGCACACGAAAACGCTTCACATACCAGCACTCGAAGAACAAATAAACGTTGTGCTCTGGTCGTTTACCTAAATGAAGAGAATTAAATCTCGAGAATCCAAGAAGGCGTTTCTAACATTCCTGGAATGGAATCGCAGTTGAGCCGCTACATGGCTGGGATAGCTTGCTACAGGCTAGCTATTTGATTATTCTATTTTATTGATTTACTTTTTTGGTTATTAGGCGTTGATGTCAATTGGGTGTTTAGCATGGAGTGCGATAGTTTGTGCAGCATGGAAGGAAATGCTAGAGCCCCGGCTGCTCATTATACCACATTGTATCACTATCAATCATAGATATTGTATATTACCTGACTACAGCAATTTCCTACACTATTTGCTAGAGATAGCATCCATTATGCCGGGATGGTACTCTAGTTTATAAATTTGCTTGGAGAATCCCTATAATGCTCATGGGTGATATATAGCCCAAGGAGTATATAGTAGTAACAAACATCCAACTCCCCCTTTGAGCCTGATTTTCCCACCTGAAAAAAAATGCGCCTTTTCAACCCATGAATCAGCAATGCGCCATTCCCGTTCACCATAAGAAGCTCTGAGTAGTTACGCCCTAATTTGAGACAGGAAAATAGAACGGGGGTATCCGGATTGAGCGGTGGAAAGATCGGAAAAAAACATATCGAGAAATAAAAAGGACTTGGAAAACCTGCCGATGCGGTGTTTCATTTTTACCGGTAGAACTCGCCTCGCTTCACACTGACTCCATACTCACCAACCGCCATGCCTAAGTCTTCCATGGTCAGGACAGTCTTCCCTTGGGAGCCTCCTTGTCCTCCACCTCCAAAACCAGCACGTTGAACTCCCAGGTGTAGGCCCCCAGCACCGGACTTTCCTTTGGTAGATACTTCGCCAGTGCCGGCAGCTCCAGCAGCTCCAGCACCTCCTGGTTGACCGCCCTGAGCAGCACTGCTTAGGCCGGCGGTGACGTTTATGCTGCCCATGGGGTTATTGGACGAGGCACTGTTGGAACTACGTATTCTGGAGTATTGATAAGAATCCGCTGCAATATCTGCAATGAATTTCTGTGTTGCAAGAGCCAGCAGGCGAGCAAGATGAGGAGGGGTGTTGTTCGGTCCGGGTCCCGGTGGCGGAAGACCTGCAACGGTCAGATAGTGAGCGGTGACCGCATCTGGAATCTATGCCCGTAGAGTTAGTACAATGTCTTATCAACAACGGGGGAAATCAGCAAAACGTACAATAGGTGCGTAGTCATCCATCTGGCTTAGGAACTCTCTCAGGCTAGTATCTTTCTTTGACGGAGGTACTATCGATTCAAGCCCGGTTAGACCAGGCGCAGGCTCAGGAATGCCTGGGGCAACATTAGCCGTTGAAGTGGTTGCAGCACCGCCAGCAGTGACACCAGCCCCCTCTGGCACCGTAGTCTCCCCAGCTTCTGGCTCTGTTCCCCCCATGGTGATGTCTTCAGTAGTGTTGGTGTCTTTGATATTGGCCCCCTGAGGAGTTAAATCAACATCCTTTGCCAACGACGATGCACTCCCTCCTTCTCCGGTCGCAGCCACAGCAGGTTCGGACGGGTTAGAGCTAGGAGACTGTTGCTTGATCACCGGCTCGGAGCTGTCTTGAATTGCTGGAGCAGCCGTGTCTTGTGGCAGAGCTTGAGATGTCTGCATCTGCGGCTGCGTCTGTGACGGTGGCGAGGCCGAACTGCTGGCTTTTGGTACTGAACTTGCGGGCTCCTGCGCGACTGACTGCGACGATGGCTGTGCGACGTCCACCTGATTCGACTGCGGTTGTGGAGGTGGTGGCTGCGATGAATCTGATTCGGCCATGGCGATGTGTCTGCTCTGCTGTGTATGGATGTATCGTGAAGGTAATAAGAGCTTAAGGGCAAGGATGCGGTGAGCTGCCCGTTGAGATGCGTGTGACGGTGATTCTTCTGGGTGGCGGACGGTAAAAACAGCTAGACGTCTTTCTTTATTATCGGAGCGATGCGAGACATAGCAAGCCGTAGCAGGATGAAGACGGATGATGGAAACGGGATGGCTGGCAGGCGGTTTGACGTGGGACAGCGAGATGGCGGGAGGTGAAGCGAAATAAAATATTTCAACGGAGATGCTGGAGCTTGCTAGTCGCCTCCTGCACAAACCAGCGAGCTGCCGGCACCACACCGTAGACCAGCCTAGTAAGGGGCTATCGCCAGTAGGTACTTTTTTCTACGGAAGAAATGGCTCTTTTTAGGGTGGCTGGCTTGTTATTTGTCGATGTTTCTCTGGGATACGAGTTGAGAATTAGAAGCTGGCCTCAGTATCTAGTTAATTACTGCTCGAGACGAAGGTCTAGTTACTGCTGAGAAGCAAAAGGTGAAGGAAAAAGATCAATGCTAATTTGAAGAGAAATCGTAGACACGCATAGGGTGATGGTATATGGTACTGATAAGTTAATGAAACACCATAAGCCATATTCATGAATGATGATGAAGACAAGCAATGCTTTCCTGCCAAATAGCAACCGTACCCAACTACTCCGGAGAATGACTGTAGTTATGCATGCGCGAGCGTAAGGAAGATAGAAAGATGCAGATGAGAGAAGCTGGAGGATTTACAGTGAAGGGTCCACGTAGTTCCGCTGGGACTCCATCTGTAGTCTCTCTGCCTTCTCTTGAGTGAGACTTTGATAAAGAACCTGTTCAGCTGATCGTTCAGCTGCATGCTGGTCCTGGTCATCTTGGTGATGGTGATGATGATGGTTGTTGTGAGGCTCCTGTTGCTGTGCGAGGACTGACGGCGTGCCTGGCTGCGTGTTAGGATGGGATTCTATGCTCCCGACAGAAGGCTCTACGGAGGCTGAGGTATGGGCTCCGGCAAGGGCTATCATCCCTTCTATCCCTTCGACATGGGCTTTGTCTTCTTCTCCTTGCTGGCGTTCTCTTTCTCGGGCCTCCTGCTTCGCTGCCTGCGCCGGTGCTCTTGTTTTGAGCTCTCCAGTGACGAACTTGAGATAATAAGGGACTTCGATTCCACTCTTTAGGAAGAAGAGCTTGAGATTCCGTGCCTTGTCCTTGAGTTGGACTTGGTTACGGTCCTTCAGGGCCTCGCTGATAGTACCTCCCGGCCCAAACATGGAAAGTATCTGGCTCCAATGAGGTCCCTTGACACGATCTAGCCCAGCCATCAACGCATTCTCCTCTTCAGTGGTCCATGGTCGCCGCTGACTGGGTAGTCCTGCACGGCGACTACTTGGTGATGACCGCGTTGTAGTTGCAAGCCTAGCACGCTCATATAGTATCTGAGTAGGCTCTGATTGTGAAAAGTGCGGGACTCCTGGCATGTACCCATAGGTTGCGGACGCAGGAGTATTTCTCCCTGGAGAAGGTTCAGGTGGCGTCTGGGGGTTATATTGTTGGAACTGGAACTGGCCTTGGAGGAATGGAGGATGGGGTGGCTGTGGTGAAGCGGTAGTAGGCACGGAGGCATAATTAGTATACGACGACTGGACGTTGGGCTGGCTTTGTGGCGGGGCCGGCGGTGGTGATGTAGATGTTGATTGAGGAGTCTGCTGCTGGACTGAGGGTGGTGGTGGTGAGGTATGAGAAACAACTGATAGTGTGTGTGGTTGTGTCGGTTGATAGGTTTGTTGCTGCTGCTGCTGCTGCTGCGGCTGCTGTGGTTGTTGAAGCGGAAGATTAGTTACAGCACTGGCCCTCCTTACGCCCTGGCCTTGGAGTGCAATCTGCGCAGCACGAGCAGCTCGGGCAGCAAGATCAACCCTTCCGATTCTCCGTTCTACAGGAGCAGGCTCTGGTGGTGCTGGTGGAGCTACCGAGAACTGAGTTTCCAAAGCAGTAGCTGGAGACTCAGCCTCTTCTTCCTGGGGCGAAGTTGGTGATCGTGTCTTGTTTAGCCGTTTCGTCTATGAAAATGTGAGTATTTTCATCTGACCAGAAGATAAAAAGGAACGGCAGACAAACCTGGGTAGTAAGGGAATCAATATTTTTACTAACATATACGCTGATGTCCCTCAAAAAGTCCTGCCAAAGGTATTTTTCTGGCAAGGTGTGAATTGAGTCTGGGTTATTGATTTCTCCCAGCAGGATGTCTCGTCGCGAGCTGGCTCGTTTGACGAAATCGGTTTCACTTGGAGCCGGGTGTCTAGTGCCCGGCCTTCGTGCCAGTAGACTGAGACCAAGATTATCAGGGAATAACTCATAGAGTATTTCAACTTTTGGACGAGCTGGATTGTTCATTGAAGCAATGAAAGTTTGGGTTTTCAGTTCCAGGAACAAGGCAGCTTGGCTTTTCAGTAAACGGCCTCCTTCGGGGACAAATATATCTAAAAAATTGTCATGAAGCTCAGCAAAACCAATCTCTTGAGTTCCGAATAGACTGAAAACAAAAGAAGCTAAGTTGGCTTTTCGGATCACTTCAACCTGGCTCGCCTCTGTAAACCCTAGCTCTGATGCGGACAGGAAGGGCTTATTTGTGGTATAGACTTTCTTGGTGTGGTCGAATAGAGAGCGTAGGGTAGAGTAGGATTGAGCATTTTCAGACTGCGGTTCCGAGACGAGCGCCGTCAGGTCTTGGAAGCTTGTGCGGGCAATGAAGCTAAGGATCTGTGTAGACTAATGAGCATATGTTAGCATGTACCAGGTACAGGAGAGATCGAAGGTTCTATTTACCAAGTTATCTAGGATCGGTAGACTCTGCGCCTTTAAATTCGAGTTTGCTTTAAGCAAAGCTGCATTGGAATCAGCGGAAACGGCTTGCTTGCTAGCATCCTTTCTCCTTGATTGGTCAAGGAGATGAGAAATAGCATGCGCTACGCTTTCCGGCGATCCTGCGTGAGCGGCTGATCTACGCGCTTCTCGAAGTTCCTCCTTGGACGACCCGGGCTCAGTATTTAGCCCTGTTGCGTTGGTTACGCCGCTATTCGCAGGGAAGTATGTTTCGCTTGAACCGAGATGATGGCTCTCAAACGGTGTCGATGCCGTTGTATCGCAGGCAGCGTCGGCACCGGTGGGGGGGTCTGTCCGTCGGCGCTTTGGTTCTGGGGCCAGGGATACATCGTCATCTTGCAATGGGTGTGATTGTTTCGATTGTTCTGTGCCAGGCTCAGTTAGTTAGATCTTATCTATACAGCAGTCAAAGGCGGGACGAAGTATAGATGAACGAAGATCAAAATCTTACCATTAGAGTCAGCAGCAGGTGTTGCGACCGAAGGTGGTTTCGCGGCGGTCGGCTCGTCGTCTATGGGGGGATCTCCAGCCTGCAGATGATCGGTCATGCTGACTAGCTGCGCTTCCGGCATCAAGATATCTTCAGGGCTTCTGCGATTCCCGGATCAAGCAGAAATGAGGGTTTAGGGATAGGGCGCAGAAGTAGGGCTCTGTTAGGGCTTGGGGCCAAGTGCCTCTTTAGGCGTGTTTTTAGGGCTTCACTCCGGGCTGCCCTAACTAAACTCGTTTTGCCTGGAGCTTGTGCTTACTTTAACGTCCTGCTTATATAATCAAATCACGCTAGCCGTTCTCGTCCATCTGCTAGACGTCGTCGAAGTTCAAGGACGTCATTCATTTTGCATCGTGAAATTGACGTGAGCATTGGAAACCACTGCAACTGATACCCTCTATTATCAATATTGATAGGAAGGCATAGATATGGATTATAACCATAAAGGATGGTGTATTCTCGTAGGACGAGATATCGCGTCCAACACAGCTTTGACCATGGAGGGCCATGTTATACCAAGACATCTAAGGTTGCTCGCCATCAACCTTCCTGGGAGTTGAAGTATTGTTTTGAACCTTGGTTGAGATGGTTGGTATATGGTTTATGACATAGATGACTCCGGATCGAAGCCTACGATGACGCCCATGATTCTTCAAGCCCTGGCTGTTGTCATCGATTTGGACTTAAATCACGCTGCTTGGGAGCAGTATTTAAAGCCGGTTCTCCTGCTATTTCTCCTTCAACTTCTCCCATCTCACTCCCTTTCCCCTCCTACTGCTTCCACTACTACTTCGTCCCATCCTTTCGCTATTGATCGATCTTCTCACACGGCTACCTCAAGACGATAATACAATTCTACTGGTACATAATACAATCCGCATTTCTTCTCACACGAACTGCCAAAAGCTCCAACAGTAGCCATGCTTGTCATCTGCTTTTTTTTCATCTTCTTCATTGCGCATGCTTTGGCCCAAGATAACCGCCGACAGATAACCTGGGGATCAGTTGTCTTTACAAGACATGGTGAGACTGTCCCTCTCGGTGCAGTCGGGGCCCATGCTCTCACTCCGGTTGGAGCTCAGCAGCTCGTAGGTGCAGGCCGCGCCTTTCGCCAGCGCTATATTACTCCCCATAGGAACCCCAACTTGTCTTTTTTCAATGTTGACGGGCTTTCCCCCGTCCTGAACAATGACGAAATTGAAATATCCACCACACCAGAGCCCAATGTGGTGTCATCGGCCCAGGCTTTCATCCAAGGCCTTTATCCTCCAACTCCGGAACTCGCCTCCTTGCGTGGCCTTTTGAGTTATGCAACCGACGTCAACGGTCACTTGATCGACTATCCTCTCAACGGTTACCAGTACCCTGTCATTTCGACTTACCGGGCGGAAGATCCCATGTCTGCACATATCTCCGGCCACAAGAATTGCCCCCAGCACACCAACGCAGTCCGAGCCTTCGCTGCTTCTAAAGAGTTCCATGACGTATTCGATAGCACCCAAGCCTTCTACTCGAATATTTACTCACGCATACTTTTCGGCGTCTACCCTCGTGACATGGCCAGTATCTACCACGCCACTGCTGTCTATGAGTACCTCCAATACCAGTACACCTACAATTCAACTGCTAGAGATATTATTTCTCGCACCGATGTAGATACAGCCCGTCAGTATGCCAACCAATGGGCACACGCAACCTCTAGCGGCGCCGACGTTCATTGGTCAAAGGACAGAGTACTTGCTATTGCAGGTAGATCCTTAGCTTACGCCATTATGCGTTCACTTCAACAAAACGAGAGAAGCAAAGGGTCGTTCAACAAGTTATCCCTGATTTTTGGTGGGTATGAGCCCCTGATGGCCTTCTTGGAAATAGTTGTCTCAAAAGCATATCGTGAGAGCTTGAGTGGCCTTCCCAACCACGGCGCATCTGTTATGATTGACCTTTTCAGCATGGCAGAAGATGGAATTGCGGAATTTCCCACTGATAACTCAAAGCTAATGGTCCGACTTTTGATCCGCAATGGCACTGATGCATCCGACCCCGAATCGCAATTTAAACAATACCCGATGTTTGGAACCAACAAAAAAGAGATTGCAATGCCCTACAAAGACTTTGTCGACCAGATGGTGTTCAACATGAAATCTACTTCCGAATGGTGCCGCTCTTGCAATGGCCAGGAAAATTTCTGCTACCAATACGCAGAGCACAAGTCCACCAAGAAATGCGACTTCACCACTCTTCCCCCTCTGGACACTGGCGCACTCATTGGCCTCGGCGCAGTATCGTTTGCACTTCTAACTCTTGCACTTTCCTGCATCTTTTGCATGTGGAGAGGTCATAGGCACCGACGGAAATTGCGATGGAATCATGTTGACGACACTGAAAGTAACGCGAATATCATCAGCCCAGGAAGTTCTCGTGATATCAGGATGTCAGCTCCACCAAGCATTGCTCCTAGCAACAAGAGTAATACAAGTAGTTACAACGAGGATATCGAGATGCTCTTGAGCCCTGCCTGCCAACCGGTCAAGGTTCGTGATACCGTCTAACAGATTCCCGAAACGCATCAATAAGCCGCTAGAAGCCTTTGCCTATGCAAGAGGCAGCCAACGATACCACCTATACCACCTATATCACCTGTATTATGTTTGTTGGATTCTCTTCTTTTGGCACGTATGGTCATCATGTATTGAATTATCTTTTACTTTTTACTATTCCTTTATTCACTTCTATCCTGACTTACATCTCATAGTATGTTTTGATTACATATTGTGTATTATACTCCTCATGAAATGTGTTAGTTAGGTCATTGTATAGTATTAATCAAAGTTGTGTTTGTTATCAATAGCCCCTCAATAAAAGAATAGGAGAATAGGTGGATAAGTGTTGTCACTCAGTAAATATAGTGAATAGAGAAAAGGTTGGTCATTAGCACAGAAACACAACCTAAAAGGGAAAACAACAATACATCTGGGTAAGAAAAACACAAACAGCTCGTATCACTTATCTTCATCATTTATTATATTTCTCTCTTCTTCCTTCTCTTTGCTTTCATCTCACTTCTTCTTTCTTTACTATATCATAGTGATTCTTCCTTCCACTTCTCTTCTGCTGCTCTCTTCTGCCTTCCACCTCACAAGGTTGGCCCTCTCTTATAGCAGAAAACTTTCTGTTCCAAACCATCATCCAGCCTAAGAGAGCTACGAAGATCCTCGTCTGCCTCTAATCCGCTGCCGAAAAGGCATTTTCATCCCCTCATTAGATCCAGTGCTCTACAGAATCGACTCTATCGGAGAAACGCCATCCTTGCGTTGTGTTGACGTCCTCAAAAACATCCTATCAGAAGTATACAAAAGCCGCATACATCTATCCACCCAGGCCAGAGCCTCACTTCAGCTAGCAACAGGTCCGGGGATAAAAAAAATAACAGGTAGTCGGCCAAAGATACAAGTATCTGTCCATTTGTCATAACCAAGAGGGAGAAAGAAACTGGGAATTGGATACAGCTTCTTGTCTTATTCCTGGAATCTTTCTGTTACTGTGGTATAAGAAATCGAAGCTATGGCTACGGTGCTGGCTCAGAGTCCAGGTAAGCAACTGGAAGTACCTCTCGGAGTTATACAAGCCAGCCTAACTTGGTTCTGTTTCTTCTATAGGCTCATCATCAATCTTCCGAGAGGCCGTTAATTCTGGCAGCGAGGGAAATGAAAAGCCTCGACTGCAGGTATATGAGGATTTGGAAACTGGAAGAGGCGGTCTTTCACTTTCCTCCGCGGCCAAGATGAAGCCTAGGAAATATGATATTGAAACATTGCTGAGCATCGGAAAAAACATGGGTAAAACAGATTGTCCAAAGCGCCTAAACTTGAGCAGCTTTTATGGCAGTGGTAAGTGAAACTACCTTCACTCGACGGGATGGGCTGGTAGACATCCTAACCTTGCTGCTTTATAGGTCGGAAATCACTGGGTTCTGGGTCTTATGTATTGCGGGAAAAATCAGTCAACCATACCCGGACATCAACTGATATGTCCATGGATTCGGACGCAAGCTATCACACAACGCAGTCATCGCATTTCCAATTTCCATCTCGCCAGCCGAAAAACGCGCCGGAGGGAAACATAGCTCAAACAAATGAAGGGTTTGCTCGTTTCTTGAAGGAGCATGCTTCACCAAAACATCACAGAGTTACTGCAGGTGGTCGCATAGTTCCAATGACATTGCGTGCAAGTCCAACACCTGAGTTTAAGCCTGCAGTTAAGGGTGTAGAACCAGCAAGCAACCAGAATCTGAGCCAGAATCCGGGAGTCTCTCATTCCCCTATGTCCGGCAAGGGAGACGAGTCAAAGGAGGATACTGGAACTATGAGACGACACCGTAGTCGCACCACGGCTGACAACACTGCCAGATCGGAGCAGGGAAGACGACGGGATTCGGCAATGAGCCAAAAAAGCAAGGGGAATACAACGAAAACAACCCCTCGATATCAGACTCCCGTGATAAGTGCGCCTGTGACTAGTAACCCCACGACTCCAGGTCAGATGGGTGGAATGAATTTCATTCCGAATTTAGTAAATGTGGGAATGGACGGATTATCGATGCAACAAGGACAGACAGACCAAGGTGCATTCCCATTCCCCAGCCTTCAAACATACTATTCTCCAGCTGGCATCGCCCAGGCAGCCCCAGACCAAGCCCATGGAGCTGCTCATGCTCAGTTTATTGGTCCCGCCTGCAATATTATACCATACCCAACACCGCCAGGACTGGGAATGATAAACCTGGCACAGATGTATCAGTTACCAGGAGCCTTCAGCTCTTTCACCGGGCATATAGCGCAGGGTTTAAATGCAGCACAGACATTTTCTCAGCCCAATGATTCTCGTGGTTTAAGTAACATGCTGCAGAATGCCATTCAGGAATTTGAAACAATATCTGCACAGCTTTCGAACCTGGACCGCTACATGGCCGTGCACACATGGGATATCGATCCTTCGAGTAAGAAGATCCTCGTCATTCAGCGAATGGAGCTGGTTACCAAGCTTGACACAGCTAGGGTTCTCAAGGAGAACATTGAGGCAATGTTGCGGTCTAACGGTAGCAACGATTCAGCAATGCCGGCAAAGTCTCACCAAAAATGCCCAAATGCAGGTTCTCACGATTTTATCACAGCTCCACCGTGTACGCCGGTTATGACACCCCAAGGAGGATACTACCATAGTGGATTAACCAATACTGGAGGGAGCTCGTTCAGCATGAGTGATGTCCGTGGGTTCATGTCTCCTGTCCAGGCAACTGAGTCTCCTTACATGTCACCAGAGTCATACTGTGAAAATGGGTTTTTAGCCAATATGTCGGCATCTAGTGCCACCTCAAACAACTGGACAGCACCAGGGATAAATAACATGGGTATCCTAGAAAGTCTCCCAGATGATGACGACGAGGATGATATGAGAATCATCACCTCAGCAACAGGGCAGAAGATTGGAGAACCAACTCGCAATGCCTGCGCACCACCTGAGCTGAGTGTGATTTACCAGAAAATTGAGCAGGCGGCGAAGCACAACGAACCCCTGGGGCCTCTTTTCCAGGAACTAGCCAAGGTCACGGCACATATAACTCGCTTAGGCACGAACAGAGGCCGCAACCCTGACTTATCGGGTTCAGGTAAAATCGAAGTACCACGGGGACGACCAAGTGCCCGACTGGAGATCGTAGATCCCAAGGCACGACAAGCTGCTGCCCCACAAACTCCCAAACCTGTTCAAACGCCTGCTGCTACCACGGGATCATCAAAGGAGCCAGCGCAATTCAAGAAGCTGAGCAAGCTGCAACAGAGTCCACTCTCGTTCTCGCCTTGCAAACAGCACTGTCGAAAACACGACTCAAAAAAAGGAGAGACATTGACGATGGAGCAAAAGGTCAACGCTCATGGGTATTTACCGCCATTCGATGGGGGCGGGGATGCCCCTGGACGAGCCAGTCAGACGGAGCCTAACAAGGTCGAGGCTGCAAAGCCAGCAGCACCCAGAACCGAAAATACATGGATGGACCTGCTCCGCACCAGACCAAATGCCAATCCGATGGACGTGCGTCGGTTCTTTAAATTGCTCCGTGACGAAGACTCTGCTGCCCTTGATAAGTATCGAAAAGAGGGTGACCGAAGAGCATTTGGCTAGCAGGACTGTTTCATGTCTGCTCTCCATGGCTCTCCAGTCTCTTATTTACCGCATGTTTTTTTTTTTTTTTTTTCCCTTTGCTTGCTTAATCCATTGCTTTGCCTTATAAAGTTGAGAGCACCTCATTTATGAGATTGATGACGTGATGAACAACACCCCCCTTGCCAAACCGATGGCTCCAGGCCTCGAAGTTGCATATCTCTTATCCAGCCTTTATTCTTGTTATCATTTCTTCTTTCCCCTTTCCCCAGTTATCACTTTCTCTGGCTTTTAATGTATGCATTGATAGTTCACGAAGTCGAAGCAGCGAGGGCAGAAGCAGCAGATTCATGCTAGCAACATAGTATAAGTAATGGGTAGTCGAGCAGAATAACAGAGCCACTATGATTCTACCAACCATGGCCATGGAATGTCCGTAGAAACCCTCTGTGAAACCCCATCCGGCGCCTCCGTAGATCTACTCTGTCCTTCCCCCATCCTGCATCACATCCTGGCTTCTCCCTCCATCCCTGGCGCTTTCTTGGTTGTTGTGATGTTGAGATTAGGTAAGATTATATAATCAAAGACGGAAGAACGAAGAGCCGCAGCCAAGACTGGCCGCCACGTGAGTTCCAAATCGAGAAAGGCGAACCGCATCTCGAACTTTTTTCGCCTCCTCCTCGTCGTTTTTGATATACGAAAAGCGACGGCAGAGACGAGTCGCAGCGCACATCAAAGGCACATCAAAAACATAGCAAGCAGTGCATATGGACAGGCTGTCTGCAGGGGAGCCTTGCTGGAGCAGGAGATGGTTGCAACTCCGGAACATACTGGAGCAGGCGTCTACTCTGGCCACTTGCGTCACCTCAGGTACTACGCTGGCTATGGATGCTTGTTCTCAGGCCTTCCGCAAAGCCGATGTCAACTCTGTTTTATTTTTACTTCTTCCCGCCTCTCCCCACTGTCAGGCGGAGATGACTTGATGTCGGCTCTCCTACCGGCCACGTTTCGTATTTTTGATACGTCCCTGGGGTACGTTCTCCGTCTAGCCGCCTCCTGGGGAGCCTTTAAGACGGGCCTGTTCGCCGCACAGGCCTGGGGGACCCTTTCCGCGTTTCTTAGCTTTCCTCCTCTCTTAAGCGATGATTAAGAGGATTTCTTCTGCACGCTATTTTGCCCAAGAGTAAAAAGCCGGAGAAGCAGGCTATTTATATATTGCGTACTCTATTTCTTCTCGCCTGGACGTTTCCCGCCAGCTCTATTTTATATCCGTGTATACTTACCCCTTTGGGCCGTAGCTGCAACAGTCTCTGGGCTTGTTGGCTTCGATAAAGGGTCTGCCTTGTCATAATTGCCCGGTTATTATCTGTTTATCCTGTTCCAGGTATGGCTTGAGAAAGAAGGGGATTTTCTTTTCTTTTCTTTCTTTCCCTTTTCGTATGGACTCATACAAGTCATCTTCTTCTGGCGCCCTATATGCTGTTTGTCTATAGTTACGGATACACTGGACAAATAGTATAGATTACTGCGCTGGAGCTACAATGGGCCTCATACCAGGTGGCAGACACTGGCGGTTCTGGCAGAAGTCGGGCTTGGATGTACAATCCAGCGAGACCCAGACCGGTACGAGCCAGCAACAACAGACACAACCACATACGAACGAAGAGACAGAATATGGACATAGGATTCATTCTGGTTCTATCTCCCTGCGCCGGATATCATCGACATACACGCATCAAGTTCATATAGCTACTGTCGAATATGATGCTGAAGGTGCAATTGATCCGAATGCCGATATAGAACGGCTAGGCAGACAACGGCCGCCAGTGTTTAAAAACTGGGCTTCCGAGACTGCCTTTTGCTTTTCAATTGTGATGTCCCAAGTATTGACGGTACGGCCATCTCATATCCACCCTTGACCAATAGTCATGAACTAGACTGACAACATACAAAGGAGTATTTCATTTCTGGGTTTAATGTCATAATACCCAGGCTGGTGGATGAGTTTGATATCCCAGATGCCTCTGCTGTCTGGCCGGCCAGTGCCTTTCCGCTTGTTGTGTCCTCCACCCTCCTTATCTCTGGCCGTTTGGCAGACATGGTGGGTGGCTATTATATGTACGTTGGTGGGATGGGATGGCTGTGCATTTGGTCGGTCATCGCCAGCTTTTCCAATAACCGCATCATGCTCATATTATGCCGAGCACTGCAAGGCCTTGGCCCTGCTGCCTATTTGCCATCCGGAATGATGCTGTTATCAATCGTGTACCGTCCCGGACCGCGAAAGAACCTAGTTTTTAGTCTCTACGGAACCTGTGCGGTATTTGGCTTCTTCATTGGTATCTTCTGCTCAGGACTGGCTGCTCAATATCTCGCATGGCAGTGGTATTTCCGCATCGGCGCCATTCTCGCAGCTATCACTACTGTTAGCTCGTTTTTCTTCATACCCTCGGATGCGGCCGAGAAACGCAAGCAGGGAGTCAAGATGGACTACCTGGGCTCGACCCTTGTCGTGGTCGGCCTCACCCTCTTTGTCTTTGCAATCACAGACAGCGCACATGCATCTCAAGGATGGAAGACACCCTACGTCTATATATCCTTCATACTTGGCTGTCTGTTCTTGGCTGGGGCTTTTTATGTGGAGGGATGGGTTGCAGAGTGGCCCTTGCTACCATTCGACTTGTTTGATGCGCCTTATATGAAGGCGATGGTACTGGCACTGCTCTTCTTTTACGGGTGTTTGGGGGTATTCTTACTCTATGGGACTCTATAGTAAGTGTCCTCCATGCAGCTATATAATATGGTTTCATATCTGACTAACAATCTTCCTAGCATGGTACACATCATGGGCGCTACATCTCTACAAGTCGTTGCCTGGTGCACTCCGATGGTAGTAGGAGGTTTTGCCTTCCCTATCATGGTCGGAATATGTTTACACCTGGTTTCTGGAACTGTCCTACTTATTATTTCCGGAATAGGCTGGATAATGGCTGGCCTCCTTTTCGCAATAATGCCTGATGGTGCAAGCTACTGGGCTTACGCTTTCCCGGCAATGATTGGGGCCACACTAGGCATCGATGTCACATTTAACATCACCAACATCTTCATCACCACAAGCCAACCAAAGCATCGTCAAGGTCTAGCCGGTGCTCTGATAAACTCTGTTTTATTCCTAAGCATCGCGGTTCTACTTGGCTTCGCCGATGTTGCCCAGGTGGCCACGCTGGACCAAGGCAGGAAAAAGAGTTACCGCGTTGTATTCTGGTTCAATACTGCATGTGCAAGCGTTGCGCTGCTGATTATTGTTCTTTTTGTCAGAGTCAATCCTGCAGCAAGCGATTTGACGGTCGATGAAAAGAAGAGACAGCATGAGTTAAGCCAGAGACCGCCAAATGCTCTAGAAACATCCCTTCGAGGTGCAGGAGGGAACAGATCTACCACATCTGAATCCGAAAATCCGGCTCCATCATAATAGAAAAAGAGGGAAGTGGCTGTCTTTTTCTTGCCTTATTGAAATATACCCTAATTCAACATTCTGCTTGTTCAACCATCTCTGGACTAGCTGCCTTTCGAGTTGCTTCCAAGCAGACATTGAATTAACGTCCAAGTCCAAGTAGTGTCCCCTGATCGACTCCCCAAAAGGCGTGCTTGGATAGTAAAACACAGATGATTTGATGTTGTGATTTCTACTATATGAAACCTTGTGCTCTCCACGCCAATTCATGAATCTCCGCCGGGTCATCTTTGTTCGGCACGATATCTCTCTCGTCGGGCCCCCGTTTGGCTCTGCCGAAGATCTTTTCGAAGGGTATGGTCAAGCAGTTGCTGGACCTTCATCACTCCCATCTCGTGGGTCACGATCACTGTCTCCATAACTGACCCAATTGGGTTGTATTGGCGCGTCTGAGGGCGGAACGGTGGCATATCGTGCTCCCATCGTTTGACTGTGATTCTTGGTGTCCGACGATCAATTTTGACCATAATCACGGCCTCGGTCCATGATCCTTCTACCTCGAGCCGCCCTTGTGCGTCAGTGGCTAATTTGCTTTCAGTCTCCGACAGCCCTATTTCGATGGCTACTATAGGCCAATCTAGAATGTTTATTCGCATAAATCCGCCATCTCCCTCTCTAACCCAGTTGCCAGTCATACTCTCTACCTTGAAGGGATGCACTCCATGGAGCTCGTTGTGAAGGCCCATGCCATCTGTCTGGCGCTGGATGGGCTGCATCAAGTCGTAGGCCATCAACGCGTGTGAAGGCTTCGCCATGGTTTCAATAACGAGAATCTTTTCTTGTAGGTTTGCAGTAAAACGTCGATTTGTGTCAGACTCAAACTCTTTTGGAAACGAAGGAGGTAAAGATGTTACTATTAGGAACGGGCTCTGGGGGTCGTCCCTATAACATCTCCTGGCCTGAGTGTCTATAACGTGTTTGAGCGTTTTCATATTGGTATATGTGATCTGGGGTGTTCCCTCAGGAAGTCCAATCAAATTTTGAAGCAGCATACGTTGGTGTTGCTCTATTTGCACCACTTGAATGGGCCATTGTGTGTATAAGGATACTACAATAAATTATGTGTTGTAGACAGGATATGTTGTTATACGTCAGGTAATATATCTGTCACTTTGGCCATGACGTCAAGCTGAATACCTTGAGGTTCTTGGGGCCTTCTATTCCTTAACTCAGTTGAATTTAATGTTGTTCGTGTTCCTATTAGGCCATAGAGCTGCTAATTTGAACTCAAGTTACAGATTACTTAGTTTGTATTTACCTATTCCAAAGTCGTGGGAGAGAGATGGAATGCAAATAAGCCTTGTTTCCATAACAAATGCTTTGTCTTAAGATGCGAGCAACACTTTCAGAAATATCTAGGTTCTGAATGGCAGCTACTGCCTGGTCAGCCTCTGGGACTGTGAGGTCTTCAAGTGTTATATCGAGGGGCATGTTGGAGTGAAGGGCATGGGCGAGCAATGGTTGGTTATCGTGTTGCAGATGAAAAAAAAAAAAAAAAAAATTAAATAAAGAAAGAAAGAAAAGAAAAAGAAAAGCAGTCAATTTTGAGCCTCAGTATGTCACAGAGTGGATAACCAACGGGTTCTCTAGAATTAAAGGGCCATCCTCGAGGCAGAGAGGCCTTTATATTAGACAGCATCATGGCTCATCATGGTATTTAGGTTGGTAAAAGCTACATCTCGATGTCGATGCACCAGGTCTGCCGACCATCTAGTCTGGCCATAATTAAATTGCTCGAGGGATGCGCATGTCTGGGACATGGATGGACGGAAACCCCGACGCCCGACTTTGCAGCCGCTAGTTAAATAACTAGCTAGTTGTTTCCAAGGATCTTGCTGCTAATTAGTGGGCTTTGGAGGAAGATTGCGCATGAAGGATCCGGTAGCTTGCTGTTGCTGCCTAGCTACTGGTGACTGATAAAGAGCTGGCGCGGTCTTGTAGAAAGAACAATCAAGAAAAAAAAAAAAAATCATCTTCTCACAGTTGTTTCTCTTCGACTTTCTTCGATTGTTCATAACTAGTCAACTAGTTAGCTAGCTGTTAAGCATTGGATCAGTAGCTGTTGTAGTTACTACTTCGACTAGGTAACTCGCCATGTCAAGCCCACTGCCGGCCAGTATGAGACCGTTAACTAACCAGCAGACCAAGTTACCAACGAGACACTGATACCATGGCCATCTCCAACTCATTACCGGTCTTGGTCGTTGCCAATCTCTTCGCCGCCATGTGCGTTGGGTTCGGTATCAACGCGATACTGCGCCCTGAACACGGCGTGTCGTTCTTCGAGCTTGCTCCGCCCACCGTCGACGGTCCAGAGAAGACCCTTTTCAACAGCCTGATGGCCGTTTACGGAGCGAGAGACGTGTTTATGGGAGTGGCCATTTGGGCCGCTACGCTCACCGGGGAGCGAAAGGCGCTGGGCTGGATCTTGCTTGGTGTGAGCGCGGTAGCGTTTGCGGACGGTGCTATTTGTGCAGTAAACGGTGCTGGAGAGTGGAATCATTGGGGATATGCGCCTGTTGTCATGGTCGTGGGCCTGCTGGCCCTGGGCGTTTTGGACGGCAGCAAAGCGAAGACGGCTTGATTAAAAGGAGCTGCTGGATATTTGTCTAGGTTGATATCGGGCGACAACTGTTGTTGATCTAGACGAACGGGTGTTTTTATATTTCAAATAACAATTGACGATTTACATCCGCCCTGCCACCCTGCATATGGGGTATGCCTATGCTATATATAACACAACGCAAGTAACTCGACCAGGAGAGAGGGATAAAAAAAAAAAAATCCGAGAGAAGTGATGAGAGGAAAAGAAAGAAACACCAGCTGGAGAAGGGAGGAAACAAAATGATAACACTCAATGCAATATAAAGACGCCAGCGCGCCTGCACCCTTCAATACCAGAGATGTTGCATACAACGCACATGGGCTAGAGCAATTAAGCAAATGTAAGAATGAGAAAAAGGGATAAGAATGTAAGAGCCAAGCTGACATTTTTTTAAGGGGTTTAGACATGGATGGACAAGTAGTAAGCATCTGGGGTTAGCGCTGGGCCAAAACACTAAAGGGGAGTGTATTTGCAGAGAACACAGAAGGGAAAGAATATACCCGCACGGGCCGATGTGGCGCGGAGAAAAAATATGGGCCCTAACACCTCTGTATAAAACGCAATTCGGAAAATTCATTGGAGGATTCATAGCACGTATGGGACTGGTGGCCGCGACTGGCCGGATGATGGGTGTTGCCCGGTGATTGGTATGACGGTCGAGAAAAGGACGGGGACACATAAGCATAGATGTTGCCGTGTCAGCTCTTATGGATATTACTGTCGTCAACCAGATGGTTTTCATGATAGTCACCGTCATGGTGGAGTGTAACACTGTTGAAGTCTTCGAAGGGATCGGCGACTTCTCCCAACGGCGTGGCTAGCCCAGAGTCCATTGGTACACCAGTCAAGTTACTGGAGCCGCCGATATCAACACTGGCGCTTTCTTTGACATTTCTAAAGTTGACTGTGTCGATTGCTCTGCCCTGATGTGGTATCATAGGAGGCTTCATGTGTCTGATCAAGGCCCATTGAGTGGGTCTGAAGAAAGGATGAGTTTTGACATCCGAAGCACCAGCGCGGGCGCCGAGTCGACGGCACTCGTCCTTGATAAGAAGCTTACGTATAAGCCCTTTACAGAGACTGTAAAGTGGAGTTAGAAAAACGTGGGACGGAGGGTAAAAATAATTGTATATATAGAATCACTTACTTGGAAAGCTGTTGTACGTTAGCATGCTCGGGGAACGGAACTTCGTCTCTTAGGATATTTGCAAATGTTGCATTTCGGTTCTTGCCCTTGAATGGGGTTGTACCATAGAGCATCTCGTAGATAAGGATGCCTAGTGTCCACCAGTCTACGGCGCTGGTATGACCGTTTCCTTTGATGACTTCAGGAGCAATGTATTCTTCAGTCCCAACAAAGGAATTTGTCCTGAAATCGGCAATACATGACTTGGTATCAATTGTTGGTAGAGAGCTGGCGGAAGTTCCGTTGCGGCCAATGATCATAGTCGGCGCACCCCCTGGGCCGGATTGTTTGGAGAGATCAAAATCTGACAACATGATATGTCCAGACTGGTGGAGTAGGATATCTGGATATATGTTAGTGAGATATTCATGATAAAAGGGGAAGAGACGGGCTCCCTACTCTCTGGCTTAAGGTCACGGTAGATAAAGCCCATGAGATGAAGATACTCGAGAGCAGCAGTCACTTCAGCAGCGTAAAACCGAGCGTCATCTTCGGATATACATTTTCCAGGCCGTGTTTGAAGGGCTATTGGCTCAGTTAGTCGGGTTCCAGCTCAAGGACGGAAGGCCAAGCCGTACCTCTGAAGAATTCACCACCACTGCAATATTCCATACAGAGGTAGAGGTGTTCCTCCGACTGGAAAGAATGATAAAGAGTAACTATAAACGGGTGATTGCTTGTAGCAAGAATCTCCTGCTCTGCAAGCGCACGTTTTATTTTGTTCCTCTTGATCATCTCCTTTTTACTCAACACTACAGCAGGCGTTAGTAAGACGTGCGGAATATATACGGGAACACTGGCACATACCCTTCATGGCGTACAATCTTTGGGATTTTTTCTCCCTCACCAAATATACCTTACCAACGTCTCCCTTGCCGATCAATTTTATTTTATCAAAGCTCCCTGGGCCAACTTCCACATTGCGTACTTTTATTGAATTTGAACTATAGGTTCGTCTGTACCCAGCATTACTCCGTATTTGTCCAGGCGCTGGAATAGGGCCGAGGGTGTCTGCGTCAGGGACGGTGAGATTTTGCGATGATGGCTGCTCAACGAAGCCTAGTTTCGCAGTATCTCCCGCCTGTTCGACCAAAGGTTCCTTGCCCAGCTCGGCCGTCCGGGGGCGTTCATCTGATTTCCCAGTTGCAAACAAGCCCTGCGCATTGGGTGCAGAGGCAACTCTCCTGAGTTTCCTTGCAAGCTCCTCTTTGTTGGCTGCAGTCGGCTGCTCTGCACCCGGAGCTCCGTCTATATGTATGCCGGGAGTATCTGGAGGAGTTGAGGGAACACTGTCATCATTTCTATGCCTCAAGGCCGGATATCCCTGATGCGCAAAGTATGGGTTGGCATGTGCAGTTGGGGAGACGCCATCGTCGTCCAGCGGGTTTCCCTCACTGGCAACGGTGGTTGACCGGTTCCGGCCGATGTGAGGGAGGAATCTGGACTGAAACTTGGACTCTTGCTTGGGTACGGTAAGGTTGGAGTTCTTGTTTTGCTGGGAGTTCTGTCCTGAACCCCCCTGGCTATTCGAGTTGGTGGTCGACGACGAGCTATTTATTCGAAAGAAATTTCGCAGTTTTGTCGGGAAATGCGAGGAATCGTTCGCAGGCTTCTCATGCTTCTCATTCTTTTCGTGCTTCTCCTGCTTCTTTCCAGTCAATGATATGCCGGGGAAATTCCGTTTCTCTGAATTCGGATTCGCAGGGGCGGAGGAGTTGAATAACTGCGTCATAGCGACGACTCTGCTTGCTTCCGACGTGGCAGCGAATCTGGCGGAAGAGAACAACTAGCGACTGGGGCCAGCAGGAGCGCTTATAAATGCCTGTCCGTCTCTTGAACCGCGATCACCGGCCAGTCGAAAGAAGAGCGTTGTATAATGCAAAGCGGACAAGCCTGGAGTCGGGAATGTCGACAATTGGCCAGGAGTGCAAGTGTCCTCTACTTTTCTTTTTCCGTCCGGTCGACGGAGAGCGAGGCAGGGAGGTCGCAGTGAGGAGCTAGGATGGACGAAGGGAGGCCGGGTAAAGAGTGGTGCTGGGGCAGCGGCTCGGCACCATTGGCGTTGACGCTGGTGAAACAAGCGGGCCACGGACTGGGAGGCGCAAGGATAGACGACTGGTCATCCGTCAGCAGCAAACGAGGGTGCCAGCCGGGGGTAGCGAGAGCGCGAAACAGGAGACGCTGGTGCAGCAGAGGTTGGATGCCGGCTAGCAAGCAAGCAAACGTTGACGGACGAAGTTGCAGCAGGCGCTTCTTTTTTTTCATTTGGCGAGGACGAGGTTGGCTGGTCCAGTGACGCGGCTGCTTACTCATAACACTATCTGGACGTCGCTGAAGAAGAAGCAGATGAAGGACGACACGACATGACAAGGCAGCAAGGAGAAGGTGATGTGCGTTGGTAGGTTGTTAGCAGCTGTCAGAGGCAGCGGCAGGGGATACGAGAGAGACAGTCTACTATTCTGGAGGTGAGGAAGATCACATTAACTATTGTACTAATGGTTAAGCTATCAACCATGGATACAGATACCAGCTCCGACCCATAGTCTACATTTGCTAACCGGACTTCCTGCTGGACGGCTACCTGTGGGCTCTATGTTCGAACTGTATACACCTCTAGAGTGGCCTGCGTTCATGCTTATCACGAATATGTGCATCTGGATGGCAGAATCGGGGTTTACATCGGATGGATGCATCCGTCAGGAGCATGGCACCGTCACATGTTAAGCCCGCCATGGGTGCTCACCTGCATACTCTGCATAGATGAATGTGTTGGCCGTAGTCCAGGTGGCCAGAAGCCTGGCTGCGGGAGCTCATAGCCTGGTATAAGCTGGGTATCGTGAGGGCAACTGGAGAATATATGCGTTTCAATATTGCAAAGTCCCACCCGATAATCCCTAATAAGCGAAGCATAGCCTCCCTTAAGCTGAGAGTGGTATTTGATACGCTTATACCAACATAAGCCAGCCCTATAACTATTAGGAATGGAGAACACCAGCGCCAATTCAATCTTGAAGAGATTGGCTGTCTCGACGTCTTTTCCAAGGAAACTAGAGACCAGGATTTTCTGGGGCGGGAGGTTGCCAGCTGTTTCAAAAACTTCGTTCTCCATTCGAGTCTGAGTAAGGCATGAATACCATGCTTCGCTATCAGAACACGGTAGATGGATTGGGTAAATGCACTCACACAGCCAGGAGATGCATTGATCGCGACCATAGTATCCACAGCCATGTTTAGGTTTACCAATTGTGATAACGGTTGCAATAGGTAGCCCGTTTGATAAAAGGTGACGTAGTTATTACTTAGAAATCCAGCCCAAGTTTTGATAAGCGAACATTCCGTTGGGCGATTTGGCACGCGAGTTCGAAATCCGTCCCAGCCAAGGGCAGCGCTGAAGTACTTAGAGGACGGAGCCTACTAGTGTTAGTTGATGTTTGAGGAGCATGGGATTCCTTTGACCAAGGTGAAGCATTGCTGGTGGTAGAAGCAGCCATCATTGTAGTATGTAAATAGTGATGTTGGAATGTCTTAGGGGCTGAAGTAGTTTGCTTAACTAGTTAACTAGTTGATTGGTTAGCGCAGTCACCAAGTCGAATCTCCCACCTTTCAGCCAAGCAGCAACGAGTCCTTGAAGATAAAACACACTTCAACCACCCACGGCTGCAAGATGGACTACGATACGCCTGAGTCTGGCTTCTCTAACCCACTCGTACGCGATAACCCTCTTCTCACTCCGCTAGAGCAAGAGGTGCTGGACGAATACACGAAGTTGCTTGAGAATATGAACAAGGTACGCGTGCTTCTGGTGAAGCCTTTGAAGGGCTGCTTTTGGCTGACACCAGCGTATGATAGCTCTCTACATCATTGAACGATCTCGCGGTTCAGCCTTCATCCGATACTCTCGATGCTCTGCGGTCACTTGAAAGGAAGACCGCTACCGTTTATACCTTGCTGAAGGCGAGCGTGTACAGCATAGTTCTCCAACAGCAGATCTACAATGGCGGAGATGAGGGGCAGCTTGGAGACAGCTAAGAATTTCACAATGCAATTGTATAGTTTGGGATGGTATAGGAAGCTCCTAGGTTACCGTTTTATAGGGCATGAAGGAAGAACGATTGGTGCATTGGCAAGGGAAAGGATGGTGCCTTAGATTGTGCTGATAGGAGCTCGGAGCTTTTGGGGTTTGGAGTTTGACAGGGAAGATATGTCTGCTACATGGTAAAGGTTGAAAAAAAAAACGTATATCAACATGAAATTGAACATGATACTCTTAAGATTATATAAATACACTCCATCCTATCCTGTGGTAATACATCAGGTATATCAGAGACCAAATGGTGACTCCTTACACCTTTCCGGCGTAGTAAACCTTCCTTACATCTACAAGCTTCTTTCCTAGGGCCCGAGCAACTTCTTCCGGATCCTTTTGGCTCATCAGCGCTTTATAGGCAGCCTTTGCGGTGTTCATAGGGTTTCTGGAACGAGAAACACGGGCAGCCAGATCCTTGATTCCGGCAAGACGGCACATTTCCCAAATCCGCTGGGAGCAGCGAAGGCCAAACCCTGATGTTGAAATTATTGTTAGCAAAGAGACTGAACAAAGCATAATGAAATATACAGTAACTGCTCTATAGAGTACATACCGGGTGGTCGGTTCATCAATATCAATTCTGTTCCTGCAACTTTTCCCTTGACATCTCCGAATATTGTCCGCCTCTCGTATCTTGGGACTGGCTGCATACTGCGAATTGCTCGGTATTCTGCTTGCTCTCTGGCAGCAGGTGCTTCCTCGGACTTTCCTTCCCCAATTCCAAGGAGACCATTCTTGTTGCCTGCAACAACAAGAACGTAGGCCTTTTGAATCTTGCCTAGACGAGTCTGATTGACAACTCGATGACTGACGAGAACCTTGGTCTGTATCTGCTTAAGATCATTTGCGCTCAATCCGGTTACAGCCATCAATTTCTTTTGCGAATCCGTCAGTTCAGACGTGGATGCGAAACTTTTCTCCTTCTCGAATAGGGGGGGAGGCTCATGACGACCAATGTTAGAGAAGTTCTCGCCCGGTTCAAACACGTCTGGCACAGCAGCACTATGAGGGTCAAGTTCAGCTTCTGCTTTTCCGGTGGTCAATCGCACATTTTCGAAGAACTTTTGTAAGCTTAACGCTGAAGGTTCATCGGGCATGTCCTTAATGAAATTGGCAACATCATCCACCAATTCATCGTGGGTTTTCAAGCGGGAGTTAGGGTCGTGGTTGGTGATGGGAGAACGGATGTGGTGGTCGACAACAGGCTCGATGGTGGAAAAATCATCCACATATTTGAGTGCCCACGGATCGTCTCTCAGATTGAACTCATCCACATCTTTATCAGGAATAGCTTTCTCTCCGGCCTCAATTGCTTTGATTTGTTCTGGCGAGTAGACAGTCTTCATGTGAGCCTTTTCAGCTTCGGTATAGGGTCTTGACTTTTCGGGCGTATGCTGTTTTAGCCAGCCCTCAACGTCTGAGGCTTTAATATTCTCATGCTTCGGTTTCCGAGGAGTACACGGTACGGGGGTCGAGTGGAATTGTCGTCGGGGGTAGCGAATGAGATTTGGCTTGGAAAATGTACAGAAAAGGCACCTTGCCGGTCGTGTGACGCTCATTGTGACGGATTGAGCTCCTAGAGCCAGTCACAGCATCGAGGCCGTTCGTCAATTCAATGAAAAATGCGGCCCGGCCGTAGAATTGGAGGCCGTTCGTCCCTTCAATCGCGTGGTCAATTCAATTGAATTCAAAGACTGAAAGAATTTCTTCTGAAGCTCAAATAAAAATTTATTACCTAATCACGGAATACCATTCTCCCGGATTAGTAATAACTGTTATGTAATTTACGACTCAGGCACGAATGGAAGCTAAAGGCAACAGCGATGCTTTTAGCGGCGGTTGCAGGGCCTTCTACCTACCACTCAGCCTATACCTATGTGCATCTGCCGGGACAGTAGTTGTATCTTGAAACATAAGAATGCGATATGGCTATTCAGAGGGAGCAGTGTTTATCCACTAGAAATCTTGGCCCGTGCCTCGGACTCCCCGCTCTTTAGGAATCTGCAGCAGCGACATATGTGCATTGGTTTCAATATATGCAATCTACTGCAAAGCTCAACATGGATTAGGTGAAGCTAGGTTGCCTCACTCAGCTCATATGAGTGCGGCGTATTCACGCTGTGCCGCAAGGCAACCGAATTCCGGTACTGATATATAGTCTACTCTTCGTTCAGTGAAGGCAGAATAATCCATTTCTTTCTTGCTCCCTATCTCTACACTTCACGATCTTCGGCAATATTCCAACTAAACCTCATACGAGCAACGCAGAAAATACCCAAGTCAACGTGTCGTCTAAAACACATGGAATATCTGCGAATATCTATGGGCGGGGAGATCGCTCCCTCGGCGATAGACCGTGCCACGTCGGCCTTGCTGTGTACGAAATTGGCTCCAACATCTGTGAAATGCATCATATCCGTTGCCCTCAGGATGACCAGTACATCTATGACCGTCGAACCCAACCCCTCGAGGATTCGGTGTTTCGTGGCCGATGTGAATTAACCCAGCTATCAAAACCCGAGAAGCAGCAGGCTAGCCAGATTCTCGAGAAATTCGGCCTTGACTCTACCAATATCCCAGAAGTGGGCGTGGGCAATTGTCAGGACTGGCTTGCAGGAGTAGTGAAGGAACTCGAGCGCCATGGTATTCTCCCAGACGGAGAGGGAAATTATTGGAGAAATATGATCAACTTGACATCCGACCAAATGAAGAAACGCTGTGAAGGTGATGGGAAACAGTGGGTTGATGGACCAGGACAGATCCCGTTCAGTGGGGTCCCTGATGCTAGATATTCGGATCGTGAAGAGGGAAATGTCGGGAAACTGGCACATGGCTCTATAATAGAGGGGAAATTGGAACCTCTCTTTGCCTCTATATCTGGTCTTGGCCCTTCAACTTCTGAAGATAACGATCCTCAACGGCCCTATGTCTCTAGTCCTTTTTTCAGCCAGAAAAAATCCCAGAGATGAATTTATTAATCATAAATGCCTTAGAAGCAACCATGTTTGATGATGTCTTATGATTTGTGACTGCCATGTTCCGCCGTATATGTTCCAACCCCGGTCCGCAAATCGTCAGGGAACATCCGAGCCAAGTCGATCGGTCTGCAGACCGGGTGTTATTCCCACATAATTGCCGCTATGCGCTTGATAGTTGCAGCCACGATGTAATAGGGTGGTATATATTTTTCCGTGACCAAATCCCAAGATTCTTTGATAGGGATAGTGACCATAGCACGGAAGTATTCCCAATACTCTGGGCGATAGCCGGAAAGGCCCCAATCGATAATAACTACACTGCAGTCCGGCTTGAAAATAACATTATCAGGACGTAAATCACCATGGGTGAAGACAATTTGGTGGCCCTTCAGGCTTCGAACTGTCTGGTGATTGATATATTCTGAAACGTAACGGGGCGACTCGGGGTCGACTGGACGGGGTTTTGGGGGAAATCTATTTCGCAAAGCTTGGATAATACCTTCATTAAAGGAAGATTCAGATTCAAAAGGGCCATATTCGATCGGTTTTTCACCCCACCACGAATTAAAAATCGGATCTCTGCATGTGGTGTGATCCAAACCTCTAATATAGGTGCCTTTTATCTCACGTAGCTGGTTTACTGCATCTCTCAAATTAGAGATAACCTTCTCACGACTCTTCTCATTCGCATGTGTCAAGAATGAACTCAATAGCTCCCCTTCTGCAATTGACATGATGATGTAACATATATCATCGAGAACATATGCACTGATAAGGTGCGGTACAGCCACTGTTGTAGATGTGGAAACCAAATGCATTGCTTCTGCTTCTGCAAGTCGAACTCCATGACCATACTTGACTAGCATCCCAGAATCGATGTGCACTATTCTTGCACCTCCTTTCCTAGGACAGAGTTTAGGCCAGTCATCCAGATCTTTTGGGTCCAATATCGTCCTAGGAAATCCGATGACCTTTGAGTAATTAAAGTGCGTTTTGATGCCTTTAGGTTCTGGGGTATTGGGTTTAGGTTCTGCTCCGGAGTGAGGCACGTCGGGGGAGAGGGTCATAGTCCCACCAGTGTCCCGAGGGAAATCATGATCCACATTTTTTTGGGTTGAGAGGTAGTCAATCTCATGCAATGGTTTGCCACTGCCTCCGTATCGAATAGGAATTGTATCTCCCAGATACATAGCTAATTCATGTCTTTCCTGGAGTATAGTAATTTTTCGTAAGATATCCTCGGGCAATTTTTAAGTCATAAAACTCCGCGCGGAATGGGTTGATGATGTAAATCTGGGAAAATATCCCCGGGTAGTACTGCTGGACTTCCTCCTGGATAGACTTTAAAGCAGCCCGCATCTTGAAAATAACGCTATCAGACTTGCCTGATCGGAAAGGGTACAGCTGGGATGGCCAACAGTCAATGACGAACGATGCCTTCAAATCAGGGAGTGAAGAATATCTGAAGCAAAACGACCATCAGACTTTCTAGAAGCCCTATAACCATATTTGATATGCTCCCCGAATATCTTAAGCACTCAAATAGGAGTCCGTATCTCTTCAAAGCTTCTTCGTCGAGTTTGATCCACATGATGTGATGTCCTTTGCATTGAGTTATATGCACAAAGCTCGATAGCTCGGGCATTTCACGGAAAGGAAAAGGGTATAGCTTGCCCATTTTCCTCCAGAAGAGAGCATCCTTGATAGCAATACACGTCCTCTCTATCAGAAACGCCCGCAAAGCAGACGCTTTAGTGAGAAACTATGCGTAATTAGTCAAGCTTGTTTTTATGACGGTGTACTTACTTTCAACATTATTGCTTCGACGAGGTTCTGGTCTCCTTTGGCTAGATCAACACCCCACATTTCAGTATAATCCGTTTTTGAGTACATATCCTGAAGGGCTTGCTGGAGCTCCGGGAGGTAAGTCATTAGATCATCCATAGTGAACACAGGTAAATGTAGACTGGTCGGTCGACGCGAAGAGCTAGAAAATAACCAATTTGGAGATTGCGATCTTTGCTTCGGAACCACCTAGTTATCAACCACAGTTAAATAACTAGTTATTATGGACAAAACCGTTGTGAATAATACGGAGAACGATACTTGATATAGTTTCTTTTTTTTATTATTATTACGAATTATGGCAAGCAGAGCGAGCGCCCCTGACTTGTCATAAATGAAGGAATATTTCTGGATGTGGAGGGGAGAGTTTAGTCTGCATGGCTAGTTAGTTGGCCAGTTGAGTTAAACTTCATTGATTCTAAAATCAACCAACCAGGCGCCAAGGCAAAACTGTAGTTAACTTAGTTAACTAGTTCAGCGAAGTAGTTAGGTGATTGGCCTATTGCCAGTTTGCAAGCGCCGAACTCCAACTCCACCCGACCTTTGGTTACTGCACTTCACTTACAGGCATCCGATAACAAGTTATCTACCTATTTAGGTAGTCATTTAAGTATACGTTCGTTTCATGATATGTCTAAATCGGTCAGGCTTGCCATGCGTACGCGATATTTACCCTTTCTTTTACGGCATATGAAGGTATGGATAGAATCGAAACCCTGGATTTTTGATTCAAGCATCCAAATGAAATAAATAGCATGTGCAGCAAATTAATTACGCGTTCTCCAAGGTGAAACGGCTTATGTGAACCGTGATCACCCAGTTGGTGAATGCGAGGCTGCTAGGAGTTTTGTTTACCGCCGACAACTTGCCTTGAGCGGCTAAGTTCGATGCTGACTTCAATATGCGACCATAAATAGCTGACTATGAGGGCAAATACCAAAATGCGAATGTGTCACGGATGTCCAATCATTCGTTAGGCGCCGGGAGTTCACTTGATGTGCATAGGTGCCTGTTTCAAGGAGCAAAGAAAGGCTGGCGAGGACTGTGTGGGCCGGCTTCTATGGACCTGGGCATAGGCGAACCGCTGTTGCTGCGCACTTCTTCCTTGAGCTCTCATAGCGAATTATTTGCACAGCCAGGACCAGTTTTGTTACATTTTTTGGCAGTGCAAGGGATTGTAGCGCCCATGAAAAGCACTGCCCTTCTCCAAAACTATGACCAAATGGAGGGAGTCGGCGGACTTTGTCTCCTTTCAAAGATTTCAAAGTGGCCCCTCAGGACTATATAGATCTCTTTCTATTCCCTCCAGAAGGACTGCATTTTGTTCAAGGAAAACATCGAATACCAACTACCTAAGTCTACTTCGCTACGGCTCATACACAGCAATATCCTTTCAGACACACCCAACTTGTATATTTCTCTTTCTTCGGACTACCCCCTCCCGCCTTCTACTATTAAGGGGGCTTGTTATATTCCTCTAGTTTTATTCATCCAACCCCCCTCCACATTGATCAATACTCCGACACCGAAACCAGATATGTCTTCTTCAAATTTCCGTGAAATCAGGCCCTCATCCCGTGCAGTTTCTGTTGGTAGCTCCCGGAATGCAAGAGCTGATAGAAGTTCTAGCAGAGGAATCGTTAAAAACCAGGCGTTCTCTGTTAATTTATGGGGAGGGGAGACCAAGAAAAGAGTGACCTCAGGGCACATTGGGCAATAATGGCGTACGAAAGGGGAGAGAATTCAGGGGAGATATTCCATACTCGCAAAGACGACCGCGGTTATAGATAAAAAACAACGTCTTCATTTGGCAGAAGTGAAGTAGCTTACCTTCCACGTTCAGGTCGAGACCACACTACTAGGGTGCTTGACCAATATGGAAACAATGAGCGGAACATTCCCCGATGGATACCATCGTCGTTGTCAAGAGTGGACGGTTGGCTCACTTGAGGCATTGGAACACGAGGAAATTGTCCCTCGAGGCACAGCTAAATACTGGGAAAGGAATGTCGGGAAGTCTTCTCCCTCCATTGGCCGTCGCCTTGAGAGTGACGGGCTGTCTTGGATCCCAAAGGAAGGGGCCGGAGAACGCTACGAAGGAGCCGTCGATGCAAGATTTGGAGACAAGTCCAAACGTCCTCCTGTGGGCAAGTTGAATCCTGCCAAATCTTCGCGTCTCCTTGGATAGAACAGGTGGTAGTTGTATCAGAATTGGAAAGTTGGGTATTGAAGTTTTCCTGCTTTATTCACGTTTTTTGAGAGCCTCAGTCCGTTTTCTCTCCCTCTTTTCCCCTATTCCTTTCCCTCTCTCTGCTTTCTTTTCGTTTTTATTGTTTTTATCTTTTCCTTTTTATTTTATTTATTTTATTAGTTTCTCCTTACAGATTGCTGTCGACCATTTCTCGTTAACTAGAAGTCTCCTGTATTTATGCTCGGCTACTTAGCCAATCAACGCCACTGACCCCGTATGCTTACTATCGGTTGGGCCAGTCCGCTTATCCTGTGAAATTCTTGATAGGTGGTTATTTCTAATTACGTAATATGACGGAGACGGGTTAATGTCGGGTTCTTGCAGGTCACCTTAAGGTACCTCGGTACCTAGTACTTTGCAAGAGGGCGGGTAGCATATTATTGTATACATTATTATATTATATTCGCTACTTCCCATTGGATTAATAACTAGCTATTAATCAGCTATTTCTATTGGTTAATAAAATGTATGATTGGTTTAATTTTATGTACCAGGCTCAGGCTCCTAATGGGTGTCGTGGGAATGAATAATAATTCTACGGGTCATGTGACAGCAAAAATGATCGTTCATATTATTATTAGGGGGATTATATTAGGGATAGGGTGAAGAGAAGAGACTGAGATAGAGAAAATGATACTGAAGTGATAGAGTGATTCTCTTGAATTATTTGGGGGAAGCGGAAAGAGTGTGTAAAATTAATTACTTAAAAGATTTTTGTTATATACGTTTCCATTAGATCAGTTCCAGGTCGGGCTCCAGCTACCGACATATCACGTGAAGATTACTAACCTGGACATTTTGGTTGGTAAAGAAAGTTTGAAAAGTGAAATTGATCAAAGTCAAAGTAAACTCCAAGAGCTTTTTGCGCAAGACAATTCTTCAACAGTATTGCTTTAATTTTCATTCCAGGGGGATGTTTTTGAGGGCACTAAATGTGTGGATTGCCTCATTCTCGAGATTTAGAGCGCTACGAACCCCCGCAACCCAATTGATCACCCTTTCCGTTCACAAATACTCCACGGTTCAACGTGCCATAAAGATAGTTGGAGGGTTCGATATGCCTGGACAGGGCAAGGCGCAGCAACACAAAGGAAAAGGAAGAGAACCGCAAAGGAAGAAACAAAAAGCAAAGGAGAAGTCGAAGGCCGAAGGGGGTGCGGATGAAGTAGTAGAATTGGACGTGAAGAACCTCCTAGAGAACAACAGGCGGAAATCAGAAGAAAATGGTGAAAAGCATACAGATGCTGAAACAAGCGTATCTGTTGTTCACGAAGGGAAAAAGGATTCCCCATTCCCAGAAACAGAAGTAACTGTTTCGGAGTTGTCATCAACCGGAGAAGGTCTTGCGTTATCGCCAAACGGTGACCATGTTTACGTCGTACCATTTGCGCTTCCCGGAGAGACAGCCCGGGTCAGAATATACAAGACGATCAAACCTAAGTCATATAGCTTGACAGATCTGGTGGAGGTTTTAAAGCCGTCCGAACAGCGTGATGACTCCCTTATAAAATGCCAATATTTCGGCAAATGCTCCGGATGCCAGTTACAGATGATACCGTACCAGGACCAATTGCAACATAAGAAGCGGATAATAGAAAAGGCATATGCTAACTTCTCTGGGCTATTGCCGGTGCTTATACCTGCTATTGGAGATACGATGGGCTCCCCCATGCAATATGGATACAGAACCAAGTTAACTCCGCATTTCACCCAGCCTGCTCGCAACCGGAGGCAAGAGCATGGCAGTGATGCTCCGGAGATCCCCCCTATTGGATTCATGATGAAGGGACGCCGTAAGGTTATGGATATTGAGGACTGTCCTCTTGGAACAGACATTGTTAGGAGCGGTTTGAAAAATGAGAGAAAGAGGGTCGCAGAAAACTTACAGCAATACCCTTACGGTGGTACACTGTTGGTTAGGGAAAGTACGAAAAGGGTGGAGAGGAATAAGGAGAATGAAGCTCTGCCTTCGACTGATAAAGTGATACGGACGACATTTCCAGAGTATGTTGAGGAGAAGACATACATCACGGATCAAAATGGTATATCTGTTGAATATGTGGAGGATTATCAATTCCACAATATTGCCGGAACATTTTTCCAGAACAACAATTCCATTCTACCATCGTTTACGGGCTATGTTCGAGATAACGCCTTGCATCCTGAACCTAAACCAGATGCCACTCCAGCAGAGTCGGCCGCGGCAGCCAAATCCAACCCCAAACTAAAATACTTACTAGACGCATATTGTGGCTCTGGGTTATTCACCATCGTCCTATCGGGTACCTTTCGCTCATCTCTGGGAATTGATGTCGCCGCATCCAGTATAAAATGCGCACGCGAAAACGCCAAACTGAGCAACGTTCCCAACACGGGTTTTGCAGCTGCAGATGCTGCAGCGTTATTCAAAGATGTTCCATATCCGGCTTACCAGACATTACTTGTCATCGATCCTCCACGAAAGGGATGCGATACCAATTTCTTGAACCAGTTACTTGCATATGGCCCGACGAGAGTATTATACGTTAGTTGCAATGTTCATACTCAAGCTCGGGATGTTGGTGTTCTAGTTGAAGGAAAGAATGGAGTCCGATATGATATTGAGAGTATCCGTGGATTTGATTTCTTCCCGCAAACAAGCCATGTTGAGAGCGTGGCTGTTTTAACCAAGGCTATAGAAACTAAGGATGAGTAAGGCTTTGTATGATCATGTATCATATGAGGCTGCAATGTGGGCATCAAGTGTTGATAGACATGCATTTGTACTATAGGAAAATTCTAGTGATACCCTACCATGTTCTAGGTCTGTATACTACCGCAAAGCTTTGACTAGGAATTTTATAGAACTCCGCCATGTTTTGGATTTCCCCTGTTTAGAATATTTATTTACAAGAGGAAAGGAATGTGTCTCGTAAACGGATACATTGAAGATCTAGAGAAGTATACTCACCACCGCATGCATAAATTCATTGCGACATAGCGAGAACATTATAGTCAGGGGCATTGTGTTAATTTCTTGAGGTGAACCGGTTCCTTAAGCACTTCCAGGACCTCCAAGCAGCGCGAATCGTCTTACTATGGAGGGACCAATTTCGTCGTATTCGGCCTAACGTGGAATGAATTAGAAACTGGAGATTGGAAAAAGGGACCAGAAATACTCGCCTTAGTGTGGCAGTAGCTGCGGAATTCGGGAGTTTGTCCTAGCAAACTTCCACCAAACCATGGGCCGTGACGTTGTCTCTTATGAGTAATAACTTGAACCTCCAAACCACCGCTCCTTGCTCCTCCACTACGTGCTTCTGAAGCACGGATTCTAGCATCTACCAAATGCCTAATATCACGTTGCAGTCGGCGACCAAAATCCTTGTATAGAGTAGAGCCACCAGACAGCACGATGTTCTTGTAGAGTCCACGTCGAACATCAATTGGAGAGGATTGGATAACACCATCGACAACGGTGGGTAGTGGCGTTAGGAAATCAGAGGAGTAAATCTCGGGGTTGAAGAAAATCTCCGGAGCCAAAAATCGTTCGTAACCAACATCTATGGAAACAGTTCTTCCATTGGGAGATGTGACAGTGTGTTTGAGGAACCGGTCTGGCTCCCTATCATACCGAGCAAATTCCTTGACAATATCCGGGCAAACGTAGCAGTATTCCTCCTTGATCTTCTCCGCAGTCTTCAACGAGCTGTCAGCTTCATGTCTGTCTCGCAAGAGGTTCTGTACGAAGTAGGTGATATCTCGACCGGCGATGGGAATACTCTTTATCGAAGAGCCAATGACGTATCCTTCCGCAACTGGAATAACGTGTGTGACACCATCACCGGAATCAATGACAGTACCCGTAAGTGACCTGTCTGTAACCTTTGATGATGTCCAAGAAGCTGCTAGGGCAAGGACGGCTTGAACTGCAATATATAGTCCCGCGCAGTTAAACGACTCGAAGAAGATCTCTGCAGTGTTTTCTCGGTTCTCTGGCGGGTTCAATGGCTGGTTTTGAGAAAATTAGTAGGAATTAACATATGAGCGGAGGACGTAGGAGGTTTACAGGTTCCGTTAATAGGAAGTAGTGATCCTCTGGCTCGACCCTCAAGTACTTGAAGATGGAGTTGGACCAGAACCTCTCCATATGATCCCAATTTTCAATCTGCCCATGTCTAATGGGATAATGGATGCCATATCCTGGCCCGGAGCTCGCGGCGAGGGCTTCATCTCCAATGAAGTAGTCCAGATCTTCAGTTCCACGCTTTGAGGCAAGCGAGGAAGTCGGCCCCGCGCCGCCTGTTAGGAAAGAGGGCTTGTTTGCGACGGGTGGTCGACCGGAACCTGTCCCAGGGGCCGCTCCTGCACCGGACTTTGTAGCTATGGCGGTGGGAAAGACGAAAGAGGGAGAATCATTGCCGGCGAACCCTAATTGGGAGGAGAGCTACGAGTTAGCTGGTGGGAGGGGTATACACCGATGGGGTTCTACTGCTCACCAAGCTTGGAGTAGCCGGTGCCACTATAGGTAGGAAACAGTTAGCCAATGCGCACTGCGGTGAAAACTATCAGCATTATAACACTGTCTCCCCGGTACTTACTTGTCCATGACAACGGCGGGTGTTTGTGCTGCCATCTTTACCGTGGTGACGTGACAGTCGAGGCAGCAGTAAAAGCAGGAAAATTCAATCAAATATCGAGATGGGACAGATATAGACTATGTAAACCGAGCTTCACAGCAGGCGACCCGCGGGATAGTGGCCTTTATGCTGTGGGGTGTTATGCTGCAGCCTGTCCGTGTCGGAGGGTGGAAGCGTCGTAGGTTAACTTAAGAGAGTCCATTGAACAAGGTGGATGATGAGAAGGCGCCAAGACTTGATATCATGTGCCTTTTTGCTACTTCGACTCTTTTTTCAACGTCAGACATCAAAACGGCTGACGTCTCTCCATCATTTCGGGATTTATGGCCCGTGGAATGAGGATAAAGAGGTCGAGAGACCCAGTGAAAAGCCGGGAATGATGCTGCGAGACTCCTGATACCACTGGAACAGCCGGAACTCCTGGAAGCAACAACTGGATTGTTGTCACCACCTCCTTCTTGACCGAAGCGCAAGGGGGAAAGCAGAAAAGAATAGAAGCCTCTGAGAGGAGAGCAGAAGAGAAACACAGGCAGATGCAGCTGCTCCATCTCTAGACGTTATCTGCGTCTGATGAGCAAACAATGAGCCAGACTGTTTCTTATCCGCTTCTTCTCTCTTTTCTACTCCCTCTCACCAGCACGTCTCCTGATACCTTCCCTTACCAAGGCTACTTTATCTATCTGCATCTTCTACTCTTCTCAGCATAGATTTTATCTCTCTGGTGATAACAAGAGAGAATCTTCCCTTAGTTACTGCACCAGAGGTGGAAAAACCTGTGCCATAGACATACATCGCTTATTCCATGCATAAAGCCATCCACTCGTTACTACCTTGCTTCCTCTCACATTCTCTCACTTCCGGAGCCTAGGTTGATGAGACTTACCCCTTATCTTTCTCCTTTAACTACCATCACTTACCTAGGAGCTGATAGTCTGGTGAGGCTGCTTTGATTGTGCTTTCTGAGTACCCCTCTACTATGCTAAGGTCGTGGAAATAGGTGTCTGCCATCTAGGTCACCTAGCAACCCACTAGTGCTAGATTCATAACAACAGACTCTTTTCGTCTCTTCTCACTGATAAAGATTTCTATATACCCCAGGCTGTGTCCATACTCCTTCTCCCGTACTTCGAACATCTGTACGAGTCACGCCCATCCTATCCCCGACACTCGTGGCAGTATAAACAAGATGAACCCCCAGGACAAGGGCCTCCAGGGGGGTCCAGGTGTATCTGCTATATTTGTTCATGCAGGCGCTGGTTTCCACAGCCGCCAAAGCGAGGAGCTTCATCTCTGGGTGTGTAGCAAGTAAGTTAACTTTTACAGTTCCTAGTATAAAATACCTCGCTAACTATTCTGGCTACAGGGCAGCCTCACTAGGTATGGCCATGTTGAAGGCTGGCGGAAGTGCGGTTGACGCAGTTGAAGTAGCCATCAAATTCTTCGAGGACCATGAGGTGACGAACGCTGGATATGGTAGCAACCTGACAATTACCGGCGCTGTGGAGTGTGATGCTACAATCGTTGACCATCTTGGCCGCAGTGGTGCAGTAGGAGCAGTCCAAAGTTTGTCCTTCCTGATACACATACAGTAAGGCCCGATTGTAGCTGACAGACCTTGTTTTGTAGATATAAAGAATCCGATCTCCCTGGCAAGAGTGGTACTGGATGCCTCCACACAACCACTCTCACTCAACCGTGTGCCTCCAAACTTACTTGTATGTGGTGGTGCCGCTGATTTTGCATATGAACATGGCATGCCTGTACTTCCCTCGGATATCCTGGTAGCTCCAGCAGCCAGAGACCGGTGGCTAAGGTGGAAGCGAGATCTTGAGCAGGTCTCACAGAGACTCCAGAAGCGAGAAAAATATGTTGAGCTAGATAGCTTTGTCCCTCAACACTTGCCATCTCAACGAGTTAGCCAGGCCTCTACTGCAGTTGAAAGTATTGACTCGCCACCCCACGATTCATGCTATGGAGCACACTCGCTTTTTCATGTCCCTCGAAGTCCAGCTCACGTTACCAATACATGCCCTTCCAGAGATGCAATAAGCATGATTGGATCTAATAGATGTGGATCTCCCTTACTATATGTTTCACGCAGTGATATCTCTATGGAAGGTGATGGCGAGGCTGATGCAGACTTCATCGACGACACTTTCCACCAAGATCCTGAATCTTCGTCACAGCAGGATGCCATAGACAAACAAAAGGACAAACACGTGTGTTCTGTGGAAGATTTGGCTTGCGAGGGTATAACTGATGCATCAGCTGCCGGCAACGCTCATGACCTAGCTGTAACCCGAGACGAAGATGAAATCACCGACACAGTAGGTGCTATTGCTATAGATTGTTATGGCAATATTGCCGCCGGTTCATCTTCTGGGGGCATTGGAATGAAGCATAACGGCCGCACGGGCCCTGCTGCGCTAGTCGGGATAGGGACTGCAGTTATTCCAGCGGATCCAGATGATGAAATGTGTACATCCACTGCCGCCGTTGCGAGCGGGACAGGAGAACACATGGCTACAACCATGGCTGCTCAGACCTGTGCTGAAAGGATTCACTCTAGCACGAAGAAAGTGCCTGGCAAGCCAGGAGTCTATGAGCCCACGACGGAAGATGAAGTCATTAAATCTATGATACAGACCGATTTTATGGGTAGGGTGGCACCAATATTTGCTTTTAAACCTTACGATATGCCTTGCTGATGATCATGGCATATGAAATGTAGGTCATCCTGCCGTCAAATCAAGCCACTGCCACGCAGCAATTGGTGTAATGACTGTCAAGAAAACTCATGATGGTATTATCTTCGTCTTCGGGCATAATACAGATTCCTTTGTGAGTATGGTTCTTTCCTAAAAAGATGAGGCAAACATCCTAACAACTGATTCAAGGCGGTCGCGAGCATGAGCTCGGATGATGTGGCGGCATGCTGTACGATGTCTCGTTCTCCAGGCGACCGAAAGATAGCCCAGGGCGGCCGCTTTATTAGGCCGAGGAGGTAGGCTTTAACACTCATCTAGTTTCTTGGTATTCGAGGGCTAAATGGGAATGTTTAGATTCAAACCTAGCCCGGTTACTTCACAATAAGCCTAATGCTTGTGAGATGCACTTCGACATTGCCGCAGTTTTGATGAAACCTTGATTTGATGCTTTTGCATGTACGACAACCGCTATTAACAAGGTACGCCATCCTGTATTGACTATACCTTGGCCCCGGTATACAGTTCCATATACTCTGTATTTATATTCCCCAAATTAACACTCTTTCAGCCGTAGATTCTTGACCTCCGCATCCCTATCTGGATTGAAGGTTGAGTATCTTGGGGTAAAGAGGAGAGGGCAAGGGGACTCCATTAAACCTCGGCTGGGATGGATGCAAGCAAGTCCCCTTTCATTTTACCTAAGTTTGGACATAAGTCTTTATCTTCGAGGTGCAACCTACCTATAACGAGCTGTATGCACGGACCTAGGAATACATACATATTATATTATTGGCCACCGGGGTCGTATCATGCTTCTTCGAGTATCTTGGAGGTTGGGATTAAAAGAAAAGAGAGGTATAACGGCAACTTATCAGGGAGCCGGGGTGGTTGCCATTGAACTCGGGGTGGCTGGACCGGAAGAGACTCCGTTGCCTGCTCCATTGAGCGTCTTTGCAGAACCTTTCTTACGCTTTTTCTTCCGTGAAACAACGATCGGTTTGGCTCCATAGTCACCCAGAGCCAAATGGGTGCCACAAGTCAGACAATTAGCACCCTCAGGTGGTTCGCAGAAGATACTGAGACAGATACTACACACAAACCCGACATCGACGACTTTCCGGTGACAGAAGCAAGCAGCGCGGAAATCAACGTCGACACGAGTAGGCAGTATCAGGTTCCGCCTCGCTCGCTGATCAGGTAAAAAGGCGAGCATGAGATATTGTAAAAACCCCCGCGGGGAGTCTAAAGACATGTATATGCCACGAGTAGCGTCACAGGCCTGTTGTAGGAAAACAGCATCACCGGCTAGCTTGCAGATGTCGATAGGTATGTGGAGACGCTGACAGGCAAAGATGCTGTTCATAATGGGTATGTATTGCTGAGCTGAGTTTGCAGCACTACTGACGGAGATGATAAGGATACGAGACTGGAGAGCACCAGCATCTGTAGCAGCGGCAGCATTAGCCTTATCTGATGTGGGAGGGGCGCCGCCCGGGGGTGGGGGGAGGCCGCCCGCTCCGCCTGCCGCTGGGTCGGAGCCGGCCGCGGTTCCATGTGTATCAAGGTAAGCGATGGTTTCGCGGTTGATATAGCTGAGTGCAAGGGAGAGGGCGCCGGCCATCATGGTAGAAGAGGAGGAAGAAGCAGAAGAAGGGGATATTTCTTCTGCTCGGGTGCGCGTGAGAAGCCGATTGAGGTTGCGGGTCAACTGCTGCTCAACCAGGAGGAAAGGACGGTACTTGTTCGGCTGCTGTTTCAGCTGCTGTGCTTGCGGGGAGACGACGGGTTCTCCGTAGTCGGTCATGGGTGTATCTCCGTCCCGGTCGTTATTGGACGGCCGGAGGTGTTTCTTTTGCGAGTCGGCAGCGGCATCACCAGGAGCGGCGGCTGGGGGAGTTGGGTACAGCCAGACGGCCTGATGACTGTGACTGGCCACAACGGCCACTTTGTTTGCGTAGTTGCATGCCAGATGGGCGTTGATGAAGACCAGCAGGTTCGCCACGGCAGAGGAGAGCGGGAGCGTCTCTTGAAGCTGTGCCCAAGCATGCGGGTTTGTATCCAGGATGACCGTCAGCAGCGAAGGATCTGGGGATTATGAGGTCAGTCAGTGTGTACGCTGCGACAACGGGGTGGACTGACCGTTCGCTGCGGCGCCTGAATCCGCCATCCTGACTCACTCTCCTCCTCTCCGGGTCTCTCTCGCTTCTCTCTCTTCTCTCTCGTCTGCTATGTTGCGCTTCGACCTCGCCGTCGCCGTCTGTCGCTTTTCTTCCGCCGAAAGACGAACGTCAAAGGTCACTGCTTAGTCAGCATCTCAACATCGTCCAAAAAGGCCCATCAGATATACAAGAAAAACAAGCAAAGGACGAAGAAAAGACGAGGAAGAGGATAGAAAACGCCGAAGACAGCGAGAAGAAGCAAAGAGGACGACGAGGACAGACTGAAGAAGGCCGCTAAAGGCTTCCGGTTGGTCCTGCGTATTCCTCCTGCATGCACCTCGACGTAATAACACCGCAGGAGACAAAAAAGAAAGCAGAAAAATAAAGCATCTCTTATCTTCTGCTGCTTCTTTGACAAGTGATCATACATATCTTGCCTCAAGATAACGAGCGAAAGCGAGAGCGAGGCCAGAGACCAGAGACGGAGTAATATTAGGCAGCCTGGTCTATAAAAGGAAGCGTCTTGCCTCCTTATCTTCTGCGTCTTACTCCCAGTCCAACCTGACCGGAATCCCCAACCCTCCGCAAGCCACGCTCAACAGCCAACAGAAACAGGTACTTCGGCACAGTAGCCATATACGAGAGACGACGAGGGTCACGCTGATAAGGACCGTCCCATCGACTTCGCCGTTCTTTTCGGGTGATTTTTTACGGTGCTATCACTGCCTCTTCGCTGCCGGAAGCTCCCCCTGCCATAGCTTCAGGCGAAAAAAAGCCCCGCGGATCCTTGTTTGCCATCTCAGCTACAGCCTAACAGCAAGTTAAACAAGACGAACCATCGCAAGACGATCATCAAGACGATAATAACGAAGAGAAATACTCAGAACAACCCCCCATGGTTTCGGTACATGATCTGGAGCGCGCCAGCACACTAGCCAGGGAAGCAGTCGAGCTCGTCGATGCGGGCCACAAGGAGGTGCGTCAACTTTTGATATCTGCCACCAGCCAGACAAGCCGGTCGTAAGTTACTGATGGACTGACAATGGCGAATAGGCGGCATCTCGCAACCTGCGCGAGGCTATCGCCATCGCTCCAGATAGCGAAGATGTCAAGAGCGTCTTCCGCAAGATAAGGGAGGACGAGGAGAACAGTCATCCGCTGCTCAACCTCTGCCGACGCTTCGTGACGCAGAGGGATGAGAGCGCAGCCAGCGAAGCCACCAAGTATCTTCGCTCGGAAGGGCTCCAGCCACCACCGGAGGTAGCCCTAGAGTGCGTCAAGTTGCTTCTTGCTGAGCCTGCGTCCTCTCTGCCCGCAGCGCAGGACGAGCTGATCACGGGCCTTGTACGGCAGAGCATACGGGTTCGTAGCTACTTTGCTGGTGAATTACAAAATTCTGTCACTGGCCTGTTTGATAAGATCTACGACCGCGGAGATGGCGCTGTTGTCTGCCTGGACATGGTCGTCCTCGAAAGGGGACTCTGGCAGTCAGAGCAGACTAGGAAACATTGCGAAGAAGAACTCTTCCAGCTCTTCATCGCCAAGCTGATGGAGTCTGGCCATGACCATGACGGACGTTCCCTGAAGGGCATTGCTCGTCTCCTTGTCGTGGACGCTGGTAGCTTAAAACACCTCGTCGACGAAGAAGGCTTTGACGTTATCGTCTCTTCTCTCGACCGGAGACTCCCTGCTGATGTCAAGAGCCAGGCCACCCTTGCTACAGCAAAGTACCTCGAAGTTTCCGGCGATGCCGGACAGACACTGTGCTCCAACTTCATCAAGACTAGGGTCGCTAAGCACCGGAAAGGGGACTACATCGTCGCCTTCTCCGCTGCTAGTGTCGTCTTCCCCATTCTTCCGGAGTTTGCAGTCAGCCTGTTCCTAACCGAAGGTTTCCTCAAATCCCTCACCCCATTGCTGGCCCGGAAAATAAAGTGCAAGAACCTGGAGCTCGCTATCCTAGAGTTATTTAACGCTGCCTGTGTTAATAGCTCGTGTCGAGAGGCTATATCCAAGAACTTTGTTGACTGGCTTTCCGAACATCTGAGGAGCGAAGCCGAGGAGACGACTGCTTTGGCTGCGGTCGTTTTGGCAAAGCTTAGTGTTTCGCCCAAGGACGCGAGTTCCGTAGACAAAGACAGGGCCGGAGTCGTTCAAGAAGAACATGCCGACCCCCTGGAACTCGTGGATAAGTTCAAGACTATGCTTGGAAAGTCTGGTCAGGATGGCAATCTGCGACATGTTGTCGAGGGCCTGGCGTATGCCTCTGTCAAGGCTGAAGTCAAGGAGCAGCTCGCCCAGGATGCCAAATTTCTCCAAGACCTGATCAGCCTACTACTTGAGCGTGTTGCCGACTCTACTGTCCTCTATGGCGGGCTAATGATAATCCACAATATCACGGCTTATCGACCAAACATGTCCGAGGAGCAAAAGAAAATGTCCGAACTGAAAGCATATGCTAATGCATCAAAACCACGCGCAACTGCTAACCCGCTCGAAGATGACGATCATACCAAAGCAAGGTGCAGTGCTGTCGTGAATGCCGGAGTGATGCCTTTGCTGGTAGAATGCGGAAAATCGCAGCTGGCCTCTCCAAAGGACCTCGTCAACAGGATACTTCTCTCCTTATCCAAGGATTCCAAAGCAAGAGGCAAACTCGCCCAACAAGGTGCCGTGAAAATCCTCATATCATCCGTCTCTTCCCAGGATAGCACTGCCACAAAAACTCCAACTACTGGAAGCACCATCACAAACGGCGCTCATGCTCTTGCCCGCATCCTTATTTCGGTAAATCCATCTCATGTCTTCCCTTCCTCTGGATTCCCCCAAATCACCTCTGCAATCCGACCCCTCAACATCCTTCTCACTCCTCCCGGAACAACAAGCATTTCCTCCGACCAACCACGCGATCTTCTTCCAGTCTTTGAAAGTCTTCTTGCCCTCACCAACCTTGCCTCTTACCCCGACCAAAGCGTCAGCACTTCGATAATCCGCTCTGCATGGTCGACCATCGAAGACCTTCTTCTCTCACGCCATACGTACATCCAACGTGCAGCCTGCGAGCTAGTATGCAACCTCATGTCATGCGAAGCCGGTGTCGGCAAATTCGCTGATGGCACCCACCGCGCCAGTCAACGCATGCACATTCTTCTCGCTCTAGCAGATGTTGATGATTTGCCCACCCGTAGTGCTGCTGGCGGTGCTCTAGCAATGCTAACAGACTTTGAAGGTGCCGCCTCGGCTATCGTCGAACGCACCAGAGGTGTTGATATAATTCTCAATTTATGCCAGGAAGATGACGACGGGCTGGTTCACCGCGGCATTGTCTGTGTTCACAACATGGTAGGTGGCACGGGTAATATTGGACGCAAGGCTAGGAAAGCAATACGCGAGAAACACGGCATGGAAGTCCTCAGAGACTGCCTTACGAAGACAAAAAACCCAGCTGTCATGCGAAGCGGAGTTGAAGCCTTGAAGAAGCTGGTTGACTGTCAGGCATCGGATTAGGGTGGTATACGCAATCTCCTTACGTGTATCTTTTATATTTCATTTTCTGCTTATACATCGTGGGCCTAGAGGTGTGTGTTTGATTATTTCTTATTTCTGCCCCCCTTTGATTTGTTTGATGCTTTACGTTTCTCCTCTTCATGGCATTCATTCGGATAGTTTCATTTACGGTGTTTTCATTCGATGGATGGTGGAGGGTGGCTGATGGGCTATAACTATGTGTACGGTTGGCTTTCTGCGTTTCTCTTGCTTACTGAATTACTTGTTTGCTTGCTTGTTATGATTCTAATTTGCTCTGATATTCGTGACCCCTTTATTTCCGTGCATTAATATATATACGACTCGCAGTGAAATGGACTCAAGTTGCAACAATAGCCCTATCTTGTCTTACTTACACCCCCTAATAAGAGAAGATGGACTCCTGTTTCTCTGGCAGCCCCAACTTAGCTCTGAGCTCGTCTTCCTGCTGCCCGGCCTTGACCTTGGGTACGTATCTCAGCAGGCCAAGCGAGCCTCGCTTGAGATTTGGGACCATTCCATCAATAACGTCGACAGTGAAGTTATCGATGTTCATCGTGTCCTCGGATCGAATGATCTGTCGTGCTTGAATAGTGTTCAGCGTCCGTCGTTCATCGGCGGAGAGACTTTCTTTAAGCTTCTTAACAACGTCCGTTTCTTCGCCGTTTTTTGTCTCACTGACGCTCTTGATCTTGTTCATCAGCGCATCTTGTTCTTCTCTACCGGCATTCTGGAATGCATTGACACAGAAATTGATCGTTTGAGCAATCTCGGCCTGTGTGAGAGTTTTGTCCACATCGACCGTTCCCTGGATGACTGTCATTCATTGTTAGTATTGATACCCTATACCAGACCCTTGGGGATGAAAGCGAACGTACTTGGTCGGAACAGGTCAAATGCACGATTGAAGCTCTCTTCATCCCAGTCTGTAAGAACAGGCTCATCGCGATCAGATATTTGCTTCAGGGCACTCATTACCACCAGAAGGAAGCGGGTGTATCCCTCCGCAACCTTCTTCGAATGCCATTCTGCTGCGGCCATCTCATCACAGTCTCCCCTCTGTGCCGCACGAATACTAAGAGCTGCAGAAAGGCCGCTTGCAAAGGCCAGATGGACTCCCGAAGAGAAAAAAGGATCAATGAAACAACCTGCGTCTCCGGCGATGCGCAGGCATGGACTTGCATAGCTTGAGGCGCTGTAGGACCAGTCTGATGCAGACTTCAAGTCAGACACCAGCTCTGCATTGTCAAGAAGCTGCCATATACCGGGGATTTGCTTCACATTATCGAGATAGAACTGCTGTGAGCTCGATCCTGCCTCTCGCTTCTTTGTTGTGGCCATGGCCTGGTTCATCACAACACCGATAGAGGTGGTGCCATCATGCAGGGGGATCAGCCAGACCCAGCCGCTTCCATCTATTTAACAGTTAACTTGCTGTCACTAAAGAATATATGCAGTATGCAACATGCTGCTGAAAAGGGTAGCTTACCTGCAATGGCCTCAAAGTAAGGGTCCCCCTCTCGAGGAGTCCCAATGCCATATGAACTTGCCCCTTTCCAGTATCCCCAAGTGGCTACATTCTTCAGTCCCTGGTTATATGTCCTGTTCTTCATATATTTGGTACTGACCAGCCCAGCTCGGCCAGTGGCATCCACGAGATACTCGAATTTAATCACCCCGGAGGACTTGTCCGCCTTGCGCGTCCAGGTAGCGGAGACCGGTCGTCCCAGGTCTGTTGACACAGGGTCTGAATTTTCTTCGGAGAGCGGTTCGAAGTTGATAGCATTCACCTTGACGCCGTCGAAGGTTTTGGCTCCATTTTCTCCGGCATGCTTGAAGATGAGGTGGTCGGCCTCCGAACGAATTACGTTCCATGCATAGCTTCCGGGACCACCAGCCGCAACGAAGTCGGTATCTTGCCCTGAAGTTAGACCTGTCTTTGCAAGATATACCATCTATTGGTACTCACATGCTTCCGGCTTCGAATTCAGCTTGAAGGCAGCCCCGTTCTATCAAAGTGTTAATTCCATAACTATTACAACGGATTAGAGTTCTGTTTGCAAAGCACTCACCTTCTGAACGAATCCATAACTATCAAATTTGGAGTCTAGGTCGATAAATCGTAAAAAATGGCGAATAGATGGCAGCATGCTCTCGCCGATATGGTATCTAAAAGAAAGATCGACGTTAGCCACTGTCCCTTAAAGCTAGGCATTTGCCAGAGGGTCCTTTACCTGGGGAAGACATCGGCCTCGAGGAGGACTACATCAACTCCCTCTCGAACCAACGCTGAGGCAGCGTATGATCCGGCTGGGCCACCTCCAACTACCAGAGCAGTACAAGATGCTGGGATAGACATGTTCGCTTCTTCAGTGAAATTGAAACTTTTGTTTGTGCCATTGACTCGGGAGTGATTACTTGCTCTATATATCCTATCGCCCTTACCCCTATCCCTCTCTTCGGGTACCGAACATATCGCCTACAAGGCTGTAAGGGGGCATCGGTTTCCGGTCTTCACAGCTTCTTCCTCTAGTATCTACTCTCAAGGATACTGTTCATGACTTAGCGACAGTATGAGACGCATGGTCTTCAATTGATAGATTCAAAAAGTAATAGGGTAATTCATGATTGATCAACAGAAGCTATTTTCTAATCAATAACTAGTTAACATTCTTGATCTATATTGTAACTACTCGCTATTGAACGAACTCTTCAGCTACAATATTTCAACATAAGGTATCTACTATACTCCGACTTCCCGAGACCGTATCATTATCCTGGCTTCTGGGTTCGGCATGATACGAACGCCGTCAAAAATATTAGCAGGCCTTTTGGGTGTTTGATTATCCTGTATATTCTCCTCGAAACGGAAGTCGTACTTCATAAGTAGTTCGGCGATAATGACCTTCACTTGATTACTTGCAAAGTGACGCCCGGGGCATGAATGTGTCCCGTACCCCCAATTCAACTCCGAGGCACTGTAATGGTATTAGTAGGGTCTTTCTGCATGGCATGTATCGGTGAATAGTTACCTTATAGAAGAAAACTGGTACTTGTACTCATTACCCTTGATTTGGCGCAATTTCTCGAAGCGGTAGCCATCAAACTGCGTCGGACACTCCCATAGGGACGGATCTGTGTTGACAGTCATAGCCGGAGCAGAAACAGAGATGCCTGCTGGCACCGTGGTACCATCAGGCAAGTCAAACTTCGACAAAGCAAAACGGCTTACACTGACTGTTTTGATATTAGTGACATGCTTTTGCTTGGGATAAAATGGGTGTATTTACCAATGCCGATGGGGTTCAATCTTTGAGATTCTTTGAGAAAACTGTCACATTTACGGAGCTCTGCCAAAGCTGCTGGTGTCCAGGTCCCGCCACAGGAATCAAACACAGTTTGAATCTCAGTTTGTAATGGTTCTATGTATTCTGGATGAGCTAGAATATCAAAAAAGAAATGGATGAGCTGTTGGGCATATATCTTATTAGCTTACCCCTTGTTTTAGAATATGGACCATCTGAACACTCACCTGAAACGCTAAATTATATGTTGCCGCTTGTACAGCCTCAAGTTGCAATCTTGTATGGAGGGTCAAGTTGTTGCTCTGTCCTGGATAGTTATCAATTATCCATTGCATCAAATCCTTAGTACCTGGAGCATCTCCTAAAAGCCTGGCGTTTAATACTGGGGATAGTAGCTTGCTCGCCTGCTTGAATTGCTGGCTCATCTTCCCAATCTCAGGGAGGAAAAGGGCCTTGAACGGACGTAGCATCCAGTGGGTGTTCGACATTTTAGCGGCAATCGTTACAGTTGAGATAGCATACTCCAGTGTCAAGTCGATCTAACAAGATTAGTAAAAACACCATCTATTTTCAGAGTATATATCCCTCTTACCCATTCTTGCTCCCTAGAAAGAGGTGAGTTGATAAAGGTGCGCCCAATATGTAATGGGACCAGTTTGACCATGGCAGGGAAAAGCTGAAGTGGTTTCCATTCTGGGATGTCAGTTAGCTATCAATTCATGACATTGATACCCTTGAGTATTGTTATAATAGAGGGATATCGCACCTGGACAATTGCCGATCTGTGACGAGATAGTCCATATGGCATCTTCTTGGAGTAGGGAAATATTCGCTCCAAGTTGTTTGGATAGCCCTCCGCGTACAAACTCAGCCAAGTGATCACTCTTTACCATCTTAGTGTAACGGCCCATTAGTCGTTCATACACCTCCCTTCCCAAGCTCAACCTATGCTCAGGGGCATAAGCAATAGTAGAGAGGCATTTATGTGGGACAATGATGGTTGGGATATCACGAGTCGGGATTTGAAAACACGATTCTGGATACTGCTGATGATTAGTTAAAGTATATAAACTAGTATAAAGGGATTATCAAGATAAAATACCTTTCGAGACCCTTCCTCCAATGCAGCCATAAAGTTTTGGTTCTTAGCATCGCCAATGATAGGTATCTTATTTGGCTTTGGACGGACACACCACCAGACAGATATTATTGCAACCAGCCCAACCATGTATGGCCAGGCTGGAATAAGATTGTGTGCATGCAAATAATCCATTTCTAACATAACGATGACTCGTGGGAGTTTGGAGAAAGGCAGAAGGGTGAAGGCCTGATAATATGGGATACGGCCCCGTTTCTCTCGGAGACCGAGCTGTCAACCCATCCCGATCCTAGTCGCCGAGGTAGATAGAAATATAATCTGTAAAACTTCCTCCGAAGCTGAAAGTATTTTCAAGCAGTAAAGCATTGTCAGTTGTTCATATCGCTGTAGCCATGTTTCTCTCATTTGGGTTCCTGCCCATTGTCTACGGTGTATGTTTAATTTCCCCGCTTCTTCCTCGAGCTGAATACTGACCGCCGACTAATCCAGCTTGTTCTGTTTGCCGTTGCAAAAACCGTTTATAACCTTTACTTCCATCCATTGAGATCATATCCGGGGCCGTGGCTAGCTCGCGCTTCCAGGTGGTACTATTCCTACTATCTCAAGATCGGCCGGCTTCCGCACAAGACAAAAGAATGGCATGACAAATACGGCCCATGCGTGAGAATCGCGCCGGACGAGTTGTCGTATAATACTGCGGAAGCCTGGGAGGACATTTGTGGTAGGATAAGAGGATATACTTTCTCCTACAGTTTATAGATTCCCGCTGACGGCTTTATTTTTGATTTAGGACATCGAACTGGGACCAGGACAGAGAGCTTTGAAAAAGATCTAACATTCTTTCCACCCGCTCCAAATGGAGTAGATTCAATAGTAAGCAGCTGATTTATGCTTGTGCATCATGACTGGAGCTGATATCTTGTTGTGTAGATTGTTGCAAAGGACGATGGTATGGTCTACACATATAGTTTGACCGTGCAGAAATAGAGAAGCTGACAAGTTGCCCTAGTCCACCGGCGATTTCGAAGGCTCTTATCTCATCCGATGTCAGACAAAGCTCTCAATGCCCAGCAGGAAATCATTACTGGGTACGTCGGCCAGTTAATTGAAGAACTCCGAGCGCGAAGCATCGGTGAAAAAGGGGGTAAAAAGGGGACGGTGGATATGGTCCGCTGGTTCAACTTCACTTCGTTTGATATCCTTGGAGACCTCGCATTTGGCGAACCATTCGGTTGTCTCCGCAGCGGTATCATGCATCCATGGATAGAACTCATCTTTACAGCCATTAAGTCTGTAATGGACATGCAGATTATCCGTCGTGTCCCTGGTCTCTTCCCCATGATGATGACTATTGCCGGTATGTTCCAACAAAGCCAGCATCTACAGGACCAGTTCATGTTTTGTCAAAAGAAAGCACGCGAACGTCTTGGTAGAGAAACTACCAGACCTGACTTTAGTAAGTCCATGATTTGCATATGATAAGAACCTCGACGTTGACAGCTTTGACAGTGACATATATCCTCCGCGCTACCGAGGAGAAAGGGATGACCCAAGATGAGATCGAGGCAAATGCACAGATCTTGATCATGGCCGGTAGCGAGACCACTGCATCGGCGCTGTCTGGTATGTACAGTCTAGGTCTAGAAAAGGAAGAAGCAATGTGGGCTAACATGATATGCATAAACAAGGCACACTTTTCTATCTGCTCAAAAGCCCAGCAGTTATGCAGAAGCTTAGAAAGGAAATCGAGTCCACTTTCCAGCATGAATCTGATATAACTATGCGATCAACCCAAGGGCTGGAGTACCTGAATGCAGTGCTACAGGAATCAATGAGGGTGTACCCTCCTGTTCCTTGCACATTTCCTCGCACAACACCCCCAGGCGGTGCCACAATCTGCGGTCGGTACGTCCCGGGGGGTTATATTGTTGGTATCAATCAGCTAGCGGCCATGACTTCTGCGAAGAACTTCACAGATCCGACAAAGTTTGTGCCAGAACGATGGCTAGGTGATGAACGTTACAAAAATGACTGCAAGAAGGCGTATCAGCCGTTCTCCTATGGGCCACGCAACTGTCTCGGAAAGAAGTAAGTGTTCCCCAACGGTGACTGGGGCCTAGTTACGGGCCAATCGGAGACAATAATGCTAATGGATTTGCTGTAGTTTGGCATATGCAGAAATGAGACTTGTTCTCACACGTCTGCTTTGGAATTTCGAGTTGGAGTTATCAGAGGAGTCAAAAGACTGGCATTCCCGGCAGAAGGTATGGATGATGTGGGATAAAGGCGACTTGAACGTTAAGATCCGGCCACTGAGGCCTTAGGCGTTCTCTTTGTTAGTGTAAAATCCTCGAGAAACTGAATGTTCTATGTACAAGGGATGAAGGAAATTCAAAATACACTTTTCTTTGGATTATTATGGTATTAGAGGGTGGAAGATAGCTTGACCACACGCTCCTCTAGCTTTGTGCAGGGATTGGGTTCTAGGGTAATGGAATCCCGAAGAGTGGTGAGAACTTGTAGACACCGCTGTAGCTCACGTTGAAGTAAATAAGACCGAAGTTCCAGTTGTTCATCCTGGCTGATTTGAAACGACCCGAACCGGAGATTAGGCAGAACGTTTCCACCGCTGTTGCCGCGAGATAGGGATTTGCAGGCTCCAATATTTGTGAGACCTCCCATACTGCCTATGACGCTAGCACGATCGCTGTCCGAGGGGTCCTGCCCCACACTGCGTTCAAAAAGAGTGACGATTTGTTCTATGGCAATGAGAAGTAACATGGCGCAGTTGGATCGTTCCTTGTGTGCACCTTGACTCAGGAGCCGTGAGATTTCTGCAAGGGTGACTTTGTTGGTATGCATGACCACGTCCAGCGCGATAACACCTCTCTGAATGTGATGTTCTAGAAACTCCACTATTCGGTTACAACTTAGGATAGTCCAGCTTCGATAGTTGTATTGTTGTTGACGAAGTCTTCCACTTGTAAACTCGCTGTCACACTCCGTCACAGGTACACTTTCAGTATACTGGAGCGCGGAACGGCTCGGGTAGGACCTTGAAGGATCAAGGTGGACGGAACGCCTCTTCTTAGTGG